TTAAAATATATTCAGCTTCATATACTAAACTATAAAATACAAGTACAAGTTTAATGTTCCGAAGTATAATTTTATTCGTATATGAACAAAAATGATCCATTGAGATATGTCACTGGCATCATTTCAAGTACAACATACACGTACGCATATATATTTTCATTGCCGTCCATTACATGATAAAAAATTGTTGTTACACCATTGCAGTAAATAGTATTGAGATTTACGTTCCATCCTTAAATCTTGAAGCAAGCACGTCCTTACATACAAAATATTTCTCACATTACTGCAAGGTCTGTTACAAATACAAGGTATATCCAAAGAGATACGAGTACGTAAACTTCAAGTCAAATTATTCATGATTTGTTAAGACAAATACTTGAAATTTATCGATTCTCGATAGCTTAAGTGCCTGCGTGAATTTCATTATGCGTAGTCATCCGTGTAAAAACTTTGTGTCAATTTCTTTCGAGACACTAGCTATAGTTTTACATCTTTACTGATGTGCATATTTCACAAAATAAATACTGGGTTCGATTCTTTACAAAATATATATTACAATATTGCACTTAAGGTAAATATATACCATAAAACGCGTAAAAAATATACAATGAATTCCTCTATTGAGAGGCACTAACGACAAGGAACACAGATGTGTCGCATGCATGACTGTTCGTTCATACACATATGTTCAATTTTGCACTTAGAAGCTCCAGTTTATCATTTATTACTTATTCAGCATTTTAATTTCAATTTCTGTTACATAACAAAATTAGCGATATAAGATACGTGTAGGTATAGCGACAATGATACTCTATGGTAAATATTTAAAATTCTTCAATCTTAGTCAATATCAAACACAAGATGTATACAAACAAATTTTGTCTCAACTTCATTAATCGAAATATAATATTCTGTTTCTCTACATCATTTTTAATACTAATGAATCTCGTTTAAATAATGGACTTTCAAAACACAATTTAGATTCACAAAACAATACGTTATCATTGATATTATATTAATTAAGAATACAAATGTAATTCTTGGCTTTCTTGTTCATTTACTTTTTATACAAGTAAGATAGATATAATATGCAAGAGATTACAGATATGATTCTTTGTAAAGATTTCATATTTACACAGCATCTGTGAATACACCTACATGTACCTCGATATACATATTCCATACAAGCTCACGCAACACATTTACAGACAAGAACACACATACAATTTGTATTTATGCCACTTATTCCTATAATTACAATCAGGTTATAGCAAATATACTAAATTAGTAAGGCAAAAAACTGCAGAGATTTTAAGAAAAATACAATTTGACACTTACGTAGAACTATTATAATAAACAAAGGAACATGCTGTACCATAAGATGTACATGCATGGAGAGATATTGACCAATCCTTCTGTCTTTTATTACTACAACCATTTAACGGTTGGCACATGTCAAGTATATATGTACGACAGAGACAATTATAGAAGTACTACGAATATGTTCATAATATAAGAATAGAATGAATATATTCTTATTTTTAGTGTCTAAGAACATCACCATAGAGATATAGTTATAGAAATGATGTATATGGGATTATTACTATAATTATAGTATGAGACTTCAAATAATTTTATCATATTAATGATTTTATATGAATAAAAATTTGATTAACATCAAACGCTTGTACAATAACTAAATAAAATAAAATAAAGTCCAGTCTTTATAAAGAAATGAATTGGAATTAAGCATTTTTTATCTTTGAAATTCATAATTCATAATTCTTTATCTATACAAGATGAACAATTTATGACAATTAGGAGATCAACATTATTTCTTTTACTAATATCTTCCATTGATAATTATCCACGTATCGCATGTAAATGCATACGCATGGCTCTATATACATACAAGAATTAATATTTTGTTGTTTGTTTGTATATGTTCATATGTACAATTACATCATTGAATATAGATAACTATTAGAAGTCGTTATGAAGTCAATTAATTAATTAGTCCGAATAGTGGATGGAATGAGAGTATTGTCAATTAAAAATTAGGATATCACGAATTACCATGAGATTCTCGATTTGTGTTTATTTTTCCACTATTCTTTTACACATGAAGTATTTGAATGATGACCATTTTAAATGTATTTTTAATATACACAAATCATAAAATATAATACTTATAACTTTCCCTTTTCTATTTTCTCTCCAAAACAAGTAAAAACACAAACCTATACAAATTGTGTAATCCTTACAACACTTTTATCAGCAACATCTCGTTTATGCTTTGCAGGATATTTATTTGAATATTTATGTATATATTTGAATAATCATTGTGTATAGCTTATACGATCTGAATCAACAAGCAATGCTATAGGAAAAGTTATTGCAATGTGCTTGTATTCTGAAATACCTATACACTCAAATTTAAAAATTTAGTTAGTACTAGCATTGCATATATTGTACTAACAATATAACTGTTATTATACTATTTTAATATTCTGAAAAATTTCAAAATAAAATTGACTAAAAATAAAAATTATATTTTTAACGATATTTGTTAAATAAAATATCATACAACAAGCACACACAATAAGCTTACAATAGCTTTATTTATGATAAGAAAAAAGCACAATAATTCAAAAGATTGTAAATTCTTAAATGTGGAATATTTTCTATCTTTATTATAAAGGCCACTGAAAAGATAGGATCTTAAGTTCTTGCATATGTATAACCAAAGTTTCTAAATATGAACTATAATAAATACAATGCAGTATTATATCATATGCCAAATAATGGGCAAACAAATCTGAGAATATTTGTAAATTACATGTATTAATATTAATGCTGCTAAATTTCATTCACTCTTTTTTTCTGTAAATGGGCTAAAATATTTATTTCTTGTTATATTAATTATAACAGAATGTGACTAGAACCAATTAACTAGAATGTGACAAACAATAAAGAATAATTTAATAGATCAAATGTTTGTCATTAGATACTATTTAACTTTATGATTAAAGTTTTAAAATATGGTACATAGGCAGGTCAAGTCTTTATATAAATTTATATCATTTGTATATGATATTTTAAGAAATTTCTTAATCCATTATGTAATTTGTATAGTTCAAAATTAATTTTATTTTTACTTGCTCTTAATTTGTTTTACTATTTATACAAAAGTATAATAAAGTTGAATCTTCTTTAATTCATAGTATTATAAATGTTTTATCAATACCATTAAAGCTTGAAAAGTGTATTTGATAATATTATACATTAAATAGTACACACTCAATTCCCTTTTTATACAATTTCGATTTAACACAGTCTAAAATAAGAAAACTGATTCTATTTCTTCACAAATTTTTTGCTTTGATACCATTACAAAAATCAATTTGTTGGAAAATATTTATGATAAATATATATACATACATAGTCAGTATTTTTATTGAGGCCATTAATGACGCCAAAATTAAATTTTGAAGTTGTAAGCGATCAAACGTCGAAATTTTGAATGTTCAACGTTTGAATGACGATCATTCGACTAGCGACACAATAATTCATGATCTCACAACACTTCAATAATCACCTTTGTATGTATGTATGTATGTATGTACGTTGAAGTGTATATTATTAATTATGTTATACATATAATTATTATCTTCAATTAAAATAGTACTAAAGCGATATGCCCGAAAGTACTGTGACGTATTCGACTATTAATTTTACTTTTTATATGGTTTTTTAAAGTTATTGAACAAATTCTCTATTTTACCATAAGCAATATATTTTTTCAGTTTTCTGTAGAACGTATCTACCATATAAAAAAAGAAACAAGTTATACTTGTACCAGTCAGTTTTTAAATCAGAGATTAGTTGAAATATTATATTGTGGCACATAATTTTACTATCTGCATTATATTCATTAATAAGTCTACCATTGGTAAATACATATAATAGGTATGTGTTCCTCTTTGTTTAAACATTACTTTTCCTTCTTACTTATGATATTATATGTGTATTACATTTGACCTAAACATGACAAATACAGAATATCTGAGCATATGTATGAGTATTCTTTAAAATATTTCAATAAAAGTCTAATGCATCTACTAAAGATATTTTAAAGTGTATGAAAGTTACAGTGCAATAATGTACACTATAACATACTTTTATACACATACTACTATGTATTAAATTTATGCAGTAAACAACATACAAACATTTTAATTTAACTTCAGGAAGAGAGTACCTTCTTTTACTGAATAAGCATCCACAAATTATAAATAAAAAATATGTACATAAATTTTATATCCTTTAATAATAGAGAAAGCATTATTTTTGAGTTTCAATTTTGATCCAGGATTTAAAAAGAAAACTACGAAAATTTTTTATTATATAATAAATAAAAATGATAAATTATATTAATTTTCTTTTTTTTTTAATATCGAAAATGTACTTCTACTATGATACTTTCACTGTGTGAGTATGGGCGTATGCTATGTACACGTACATATACACGCGCACATGTACACACACGCATGCACACACATTTGTATCAAATTTATATCTAATTCTACATTTCAAAATTTTACTCTCAGTGTTTCTCATTTAATAACAGAGTATCTTTACGTGTTTCGTTTACTACACAATTAACTTATTGAAACATACTTCTTACAATTTTGTGGGAAGCTCTTGCCTTTATATATCTTAAATGTATTAAACAAATATCACATCTCTTAGCATTGTAATTTCAGATATGATATAATCAAATAGAAGGTATACATTTAAAGAATTGATTTAACTAAGACATTAAACCTTAATGATACTAATTGCTAATCAATTTTTAGTAGGAAAGACTTTCAATGTTCATTTACTGTAATTATAGAAACATAATGAGTCATGTTTTAGGATTATGCAATATTTAATCTTTTAAAACTCATATAAATGATATTTAAATTTTCAGCATAGAAAATATCTTTTATTGGCCACAGTAACAAAAATAGTATTTGAGATTCATTCTTTTAAATCTGACTATTTTTCTACATTCCTCATTGTAATTTATAAAATTACAATTAAGAAAATTGAACTAACATTTGCTGGAACGTTGTTGTTCCGACAGTAGTAGACATTTGACTAATACTGTTGAATAAAGCTTCTGCCTGTAAGTTTTCTGGCAATCTAGTAAGAAATTGTGCTCCATGTACAAAATCCATTTTTAATAGTTCTTCTTGATACAAGTGTAATACACCAAGTGCTGTTCTAAAAAGGAACTCATCTCCATCTCTGAGGAAAACATCCCAGATTCTACAAGCAACGTCCAGAGGCATTGCTTTGGCATATATAGTATACAACCAATCCAACAAATATAAATCTGGACTAAGACCAGCTACTGTAAAGTGGAAAAAGACTTTTGGCAACTTATGTGCAAGCGCATTAGAATATACTCTGTAATAACTATCCATTTGTTTCTGATCTAATGTAAAAGCAGCCCTGTGACAGGGATGATTTAATAAATTAGCAAAGCAAATAAAGGCATCTGGAGGTTCCATGTTCAATGACAATATAGCACCCACAAAACTCATACCTTGTACATAACCTACATCAGGCCTATAAACTGCATAGGCTGCCAAAATACCTTGAAGGCTATTGGATAGTGGTCCACCTTCTTGAAAGACACATAAGGTAGGAAAGGTACGAGATACATCTAATTTGATTGCTGCTAATGCGTCACTAACAGGACTTGACAATGCTTTGTCCAAACATATATGGTAAAGGTGCGTTGTTATATTTAAATTATTTGGAATTGCTAACTTCCACACTTTGCCACGAACACTGGGTGGAAGACCACGCCACCATAATTCACGTACCTTTTTTGTATTTTTAATACTTTCAAATTTGGGAAGAACGTATTCATTCCAAGTATGAGAATCTTCTGCTAATCTTTCTTCTTCTTTAAGCTGTAGTTCTCTTTGATGTTTACGTTCTTTCTCTTCTCGTAATTCTCTCTTTTTTGCTGCTTCCAGAATGGCATTATATTGTTTGCGATGACGTTCCTCCTCAATGGCATTCTTTGCTGGTAGATTTGCTGGTCTTGGCTGTTGAATTAGAGCTAAACTTCCTCCTACCTTATCTATATTTCTTGATGGACTGCTTGTAGGTGTAGATTGTTGAGAATCTTTGTTTTTCCATAAAAAGACATTTTTTGAAAAAATTGTATTCAATCCCCAACGTTTGGACTTTTCAACTTTTTCTGCAACTTGTTCATCAGAACTCAAAAAACTTCCAGAAGGAGAAACTTCACTGAGAGAAGAGACAGTGCTACTACAAGAACGTGGTAAACTGTTTCTGGGGCTACTGCTTGCACTACCACCTTCCAATCTGATATATTTGTCCTCTTCAACTTTGGAAATCCCATTTACAGATTCTTCTTTATGATCACAAGGAGAATTTAAATATTGTGATTTACAATCAAGTTGTGCATCATTAGAAACATTTATTTCTTCCAGAGAATATAGTTGCTTTGTAGTAGGATTATAAGCTATAGACATACTCTCCAATGCATGATTTAAACTAGTTCCAGCAACTCCTACAGAAACTATATTACCAGCATCGTACCATTTATTTTCTCGAATATGAACACACAATGCCTTGGTTTTTACAGCAGGCATGGAAGCCACATCGCATGCCAAAGCCTCATTGATATTCACACTGTTACAGGATATTGAATCTCCATTTAATGACACCAACTGTTGTCTACCAACTTTTGGAACAATATTGTTTGCAATATAACAGTTAGAATCTCGTCCAGATACTTTCAGTACCTGATAATTATTAGTCACATTTCCATAACGAGATACAATACAGGGAGATACATTCTGTGATGAAACAGGATGATTATTTCCATTTACATGTTGAGGTACAGGACTCTTCATGATTATTGCTCTTTTCATAACCTTTTTAACACATTAAATAATCTTTCGGTGCAGACAAACCACTCGTGGATCACTCGTTCGTATATGATAGCGGTAGACTTATATTTATGCATATTTTTTTGTCATTGTTTAATTACACTATAAATGTATATCGTTGTTATTTTTAATCGTATCAACGATATGATGAAAAACCAACCGCACGTAAGATTTGCTGAGTTTCAGCATAGTTATCACAATATAAGAATTTCCAATTGTAAAATAATTTTAGGTGATAACTACCTCGTGGATTGTATTTTATCATGAGTGATAAAAAGAAATAAGTTTAACGACTACGTTCGTTAATTAAATTGACTAGCCGTAATGAAGAAATACATGCAGCTTTTGCGTTCGTAAATATCTTTCGTTGCATTCGTTGCGTTGAGAAATATTAAAGAACAGTAGTCTCGCTTTATATAAAAAGAATAGTAACATTAATATAAAGCGATACAGCTCTATCAATATATATTTAACATAATGATATTGTGCGATATTGCGAGAGAAACTTGACACTGAATCGAAACTGACAGACGTGTATATGTGTGCAGTGACATATCAAACAGAGTTTTACACTCTTCTATTTACAAACGTAATAAAAACATCCAATAAACTTTCACCTCATATTCTAGTTAGAATAAATATATTCTAACTACTGGTTGTATATATATGCATATATGCACATATAATAAACTGTGAGAAATAGAAAAATTTCTTATGTGCGATCATAAATCTTTACCATTGCCACAGTAACGAAATCACGTGATCACGTTACCATTCTTTGTCGTTACATTGATAACTTTAATTGATAAATAATTCAATGTACTTTATATATTATACTATTATCAAGAATATCCCAATCTTTACATATATTTAAGATATATAACTGTAACGTAAAATATAAATAAACTACATACTTAAAATACAATAAACATACGAATTTATCATAGATTAATGTAAATGATATGAATAGAATAATACAAAAATATATATTATCTCTATATAAAATTATTTTTATTAAATTTTCAAGATGATATTTAGCTGTAAGAAACATCTCATTATCGTGATTGGACTAAATTGGATTAAAGGCAAAATGGCAAGGATTATGCCTCGAATAGATACGAATGCAATATAATTTATACAATTTATTATTTATATATATAAATAATAATGATGTTAGTTACTTTTGAAAGTTTTAACTTTTACATCGATGCTCCAATGGAAGCTCTGTCATCGGTATTTTAACTATTTGTGAAATCTTCTCATGTTCCGATTTTTCATTGACTCTATCATAGTCAACTCCAGTACCAGCCATGCAGAACGAAAAACAGTAAAACCGTGAGAGTCTAAGTTTGCACTTGATAGAAAAAGTACGTAACATTTGTACATCTTTGTCTATCTAGTACAAAATCCGACTCTCACAGATATAGCTTTGCTCTCTCTCTCTCGCTCAGCATGGCTAGTTTCGTACAATAGACTAGACGGTGCCAGACATGTCAGACCAATAAGATTCTCTCGCAGTCAGGTGGTTTTATTTACACTACAGTTGTAATACTCTATACTTTACTTTATAGTAAAAATCCCTAGGTGACTTATGTCAAAACAGCTGATTGCAGAAATTGATGAAAACGAAAATTCGTATTAATTGAGAAGGTACTGGAAAGCAGGTTAAAAAAAGGTTAAATATCAGTCGTGTCATTGTCTGATTTTAATAAACGATTGCGACTATTGCAGTGAAATATAATTATTAAGTGTGAATTCTTCAACATAACAAATGTTTGTTGTAAGAAATGTCACAAATTGATATTCAGAATTTATTTGATAAAAGCAGGTAAAGTAACCATCTATAAACAATAGTCTTTGAATAATGTTTCATTAATAATATTCTTGTTACATATTTTTAATAATGAATTGTAATATCAATGTATAACAATGATTGTAATTAATTTTATGGAGTAATGGACTTTGTATTATTAACATATGGATGCTATGTGAACATATAAAACATTATTCGAATTGTAATATCTGTAAATTAAAAAATATTGGTGTATGATATTGGTATGTTAGCTTATAAAATGTATATTCTGGTATCTATTATCTATAACAACTTATATTGCACAAGTCTAGTTAAATATATATTTTTATTATATATGTCAACTGTTTCACAATAGTATAAATATAAGAAAAACATTTGGTATTTACAAGTAACATTATTAATAATTAACACAATTAAAATTTCATAATTGGGTGGAACAATTTTTATATTATTAATAAAATTAGGTGATATTGATTTAAATGGTATTAATTATTGTTTCAAGTGATATTTAAATGAATATTATAATGATATTGAAACTGAATACATTATTTAGGTTTCCCAGTGGTTGGTGCCTTCTACTTATATTTCTATATACCCCAGTGGGTCTTTTACTTGTATTGCTACGATTTTTAACTGTTTTACAACTGTGGCTTCTTGCATCGTTATTACCTGATTGCAATACTCGTAGAATATTCTTGAATCATGGATTTAGTTTTGCTTTTGGCATTATGGTAAAAATTTCTGAGGCTAAAGTTGGAGACAAACAAACAAGAATCATAATTGCCAATAATGTCTCAGTTTTGGATCACTTTGCATTATATAAAGCTACACAAGCACTAACTCCTAGTGTATGGGATTTACCTAATGTTCTTGGCAATGCATTAGGTCTACAAATAATGGATATGAGTAATAAAGAAGCTCTAATTGCCAATATTAAACAGTTTCTTTCTACTTCAAAAAGCAATATTGTGCTACAACCTGAATTTGGTATAACCAATAGTCGTGTAGCCCTGTTAAAATTCAACTCCTGGCCATTTGTTATTGAAACATCTGTTCAGCCAGTTACAATTAAAACATGGAGACCAGAATTCATACCTATTCATGTTACCTCATTGGGATCCACATGGTGGACAGATATCTTTTGGTTTATGTTCGTTCCTTACACAGTCTTCACATTTAAGTACCTGAAAATTAAGAAAAATGTGGATTGTGAAGTACTGGCACGCGAAGTAGAAAAAGACATAGCAACCAGTCTTGGACTTGAAATAAGTTGTCACACTGTATCAGATAAAGCAGAATTTGAAAAACGCTGCATAATGGAAAAAACACAAAACAGAAGACTCAATAGGAGAAGTTCATTAAATTCACAGGTCATACATAATAGTGAAATACAAAGAATGTTACGACAAGTCAGTGAAGTGCTTCCATTGGTCCCTCATAATGTGATTCTCAGAGATCTCTGTATGTAAATATACAATTAGTAGTCTAATGATTATCACTTTTACTATTTAATAAGGTCAACTTTAATAAAGTTGATAATAATTATTTCAGTGAAAACACGTAATGTTGACATTACAATTGCCAATATACTGGATGGCATAGTTACTTATACTCCAGAATCAACTCAAACAACTATTACACCATCAGCATCGTATAACCAATTACAAACAAGCACGATTAAAGATAATAGTAATTTAGGATCTTCTTCCTTTCAGGAAAGAAAAGCTAAAATGATAAAAGAAGCTAGGGAAAGGTACATACAAAAACATGGACTTAAAATGTGCTGACATTCTTACTGCAGTTTTATTGTGATCATTGTATCTTCATTGAAAACAAATATGTAATGTTTTACCATATGTGTATTTACTATTACATAATATAAATATAATTTTATTTCTAAAATACAATTACATATTCTACAGTTATCTATCCTTTCTATATATATATATATATTTTAGAGTATTAAAAATAGCACCCTTTGGAAGACTGCGTTCTCAATAACTTAACATGTTCTCAACTGTTATTACTAATTATTATATAAATAAAGTGAATTTTTATATGTCAATCATGCAAAAAAATAAATACCCTAAACTATTATTAATTTAAATATTTTTCATTACCTTTGTTAAATTATTATGTATAACACAACAAATGCATTACATTTATATTCTGTTATTTATGCTGCCTTACATTACTTAAAATATTCTTATAATTATAAACTATTATAAAAAATTGGAAGACATTCAGTTTCATAAATAGTAGATTGTGCAACTACTATTATTTAATTATTCTAAATTATTATTTTTAGTAATATATCACAAAAATATATTATTTTTGAATATATTTAAATTCCAAACAACTGATTTTATTTTACTAAATTTGTAATAAAAAGAAACACAGTAAGATAATATTGTGTTACCTACTTTGATTCATTTTTAGATTTAGCAATGGTTTTTAAGATTTCCTATACATACATACTTTATATCAAGAAAATCATCTACACCATGTCTAGATCCCTCCCTTCCTATACCTGATTCCTTTACTCCTCCAAAAGCTGCCTCTGCAGTAGAAATCAATCCTTCATTCACACCAATCATCCCAACTTCTAATTTTCTTACTACTCTGAATATTTGTGATAAGTCTGATGAATAAAAGTATCCAGCCAAACCTGCTGGAGTATTATTAGCCTTTTGTATAACTTCATGTTCGCTATCAAATTTATTAATAACAGCTACTGGACCAAAAATTTCTTTGTTATATATTTCCATTTCTTTAGATACATTTGTTATGAGCGTAGGAGCATAAAATAGTGGTCCTAATTCAGGTAATGGAGTAGCACCACAGTGTACTTTTGCTCCTTTTTGTACTGCATCAGTAACTAATCCATGCACAATGTTTAATTGATTTTCTTTAGTAAGAGGCCCATGTGTAACTTCATTCTTGCTGCCATCGCCCATTTTAATATCACTTTTAATCTTTGCCAAAATCATTTCAACAAATTTATCAAATATTCCAGCTTGTACAAAGAATCTATTTGCAGAGACACATGTTTGGCCAGTATTACGAAATTTACTTGCCATGGCACCTGATACAGCCAAATCCAAATTTGCAGAGTCAAAAACAATAAATGGTGCATTACCTCCTAATTCAAGACTAAGTCGTTTCATTGTTGAAGCACACTGTCTGTATAAAATTTTTCCTACAGGCGTTGAACCAGTAAACGAAATAACTCTTACTTTAGGATTTTCACATAATTCTTTACCCATAGCGGGAGAATTTTGTTGACTTGTTGTAAGCACATTGAAGATTCCATGGGGAAAGCCTGCCTGTTCTGCAAGATCAGCTATTGCTAAAGCAGTGAGAGGAGTGTCTTCGGATGGTTTCACTACACATGTGCACCCAACAGATAAAGCAGCACCTGCTTTGCGAGTAATCATGGCATGTGGAAAATTCCATGGTGTAATTAAAGCAGCTACACCCACTGGTTGTCTCAATAAAACCATGTGTTTATTAGGATTTCCTTCCTGCAAAACTTCTCCATCAACTCTTCTAGCTTCTTCTGAAAACCACTCTATAAATGAATTTCCATATTTAATTTCTGCTCTAGATTCAACAAGAGATTTCCCATTTTCTTTGGTCAAAATTTGTGCCAAGTCTTCTGCATGTTTCACCATTAGATTGTACCATTCTCTGAGTAAAATGCTTCGTTCTTTTGGTGTTGTTGTACAATAAGATTCAAAAGCTTTAGATGCTGCATTAATTGCTAATCGTGTGTCTTCAACATCCATATCAGGAATATTATTAATAACAGATTTATCAACAGGATTGTGAACAGGAAATGTTCTTTTCTTGTTTGCTTCTATCCATTTCCCATCTACATACGCCAAATTTCTTAAAAGATGCATTGATCGACTTAATGTTAAAGCATGATAGGGAATTCCTTTTTGTAATGTAAATACACTGTGAAACATTGTTTTGGAAAATAAATATCAATCTGTAATATAAACATTTATGGTAAATTATACAAAGTAAAAAAAGTAAGAAGCAATAAATTACTTATTAGCAATATAACAACAGTACTTAAAAACGGAACAACTAAGAACTAACTGTATTTCATGTTCTACCAAACATAAAATGAACTGATAATAAGAAAAAATACACGAACATTATTCGTTTAATAATTCATAATTTATACGTACGTATGCCAAAGACGTGCTGTGACACTTATGAGTGAATCGAATATCACGTTCGTTTATAAATGGTTATTCTAAAGTGACGCTCTCAATTCATGTTATCAATTTTATCAACAAATTGACCTTATATAACTTATGGCTACGTTACTCAGATTAATGGTCTTATACGTGTTCAGTGTAAGTACATATTGTTTGTTTCACAGTGTAAGTTGCCGGCGCGTCGGCGCCTTATTGTCAGTATAATTGTTATCGGATTTAATTGTTTGTTCGAATATCATTTTCAAACAGACAAGAAGTATACAAATATTTTGTCTACTATGAGTACGAATACCAAGAGAACTATATACGTAGGTACGCAGTAATTTGTTGCGATTTATTAACATAACCTACATTAAACTTCGTAATGTTTATTGTATATTTAGGCGGTTTAGCCGAAGAAGTGGATGAAAAAGTATTACATGCGGCATTCATACCTTTTGGCGAAATTGTTGACGTACAAATACCACTAGATTATGAGTCAGAAAAACATAGAGGATTTGCCTTCATTGAATTTGAAAGTGCAGAAGATGCAGCAGCAGCAATTGATAATATGGTATATATATAAAACAATACATGTGTTTGTGAATTATTTAATGACAGTCTTATACCAAAAATAATTAAAATGTAATTTTATGTTGCAAACATGTTATTATAAAATTCTTTTATATATAACTGTGATTATTAAAACATGTTTGTTTCAGCATAAAAAATATTAATACACGTTGTATTTCAAAGTAGATTAAGAATTAATCATACTTATCTATCTAAGCTCTGATCGTTTAATCCTTACATTTGTCAAATTTTATTTTTGATAAACAGAATGATTCTGAGCTGTTTGGAAGAACAATAAGAGTAAACATTGCAAAACCACAAAAGATAAAGGAAGGTTCATCAAAACCTGTCTGGGCTGATGATGCATGGCTGCAAGAGCATGCAGGCGAAACACTTAAAAGTGATGAAAATGCAAAGTCAAACGATGTAATACAGTCTAAGAAAGGAAAACAAAATCCTCAAGTTTATTTTGATATTAGTATTGGAAAACAAGAATTAGGTAGAATTATTATGATGCTAAGAGCTGACATTGTACCAAAAACTGCTGAAAATTTTCGTGCCCTTTGTACTCATGAAAAGGGATATGGGTATCAAGGAAGCACCATCCATAGAATTATTCCAGATTTTGTATCCTTTGTATATTCGTTATATGTAACCTAGAATTAACATAGATTTCATATAAGAAATAAAATCATATAACGATTATTTCTTATATAAACTTAGATGTGTCAAGGAGGAGACTTCACCAATCATAATGGAACAGGGGGGAAATCAATTTATGGAAATAAGTTTGATGATGAGAATTTTGAATTGAAACATACAGGACCTGGTACTTTATCAATGGCAAATTCTGGACCAAATACAAATGGGTCACAATTCTTCATATGTACAGCACGTACAGATTGGTTAAATGGAAAACATGTAGTATTTGGTCATGTTCTTAGTGGTTTAGATGTTTTAAAAAAAATGGAAAAATGTGGAACAACATCAGGCATTCCTACACAAAAAATTGTTATAACAGCATGTGGTGAATTAACTTAAATAATTCAAAAACAATTTTAAACTTATCATTATTAATTTATAACAATAACAATGTAGATTTTGTATTGAAGATATAAATTTATTAGTAAAAATAACATTTTTAAAAAATTAGCATAGTGTCTTCAAATGGATAAAAAAAATTATATCTTAAAGTAGAAAATATTTTTTGTACTATTTTAAAGTCTGGATTGCATTCCACCTGAAGGAACAATAGTTTCACCAGTAATATAAGCAGCATCATCACTAGCTAAAAATGCAGCAACTCCTGCTACATCGTTTGGTTCGCCAAATTTTTGCATTGGTACTGTGGATAAAGTTGCTTCTCCTATAGCGCCTTCAACAATCTAGCAAATATAAACAAATGTACTTTTCGTAGATACTTGTTACATATAAGAACATAGTTGATAAAAGAACATGTAAACACATACTGTTTGCGAAAATTTAGTTTTTATAACACCAGGTGCTATACAATTGACACGAATTCCTTCTGATGCAAGAGTAGCAGCAGCTATATTATTTAGACCTAATAATGCTGTTTTACTAACAGCATATGTACCTAATAACTAAGATTCAAAATACATATAAATTTGTATATACATATATATAAGTTATTTATAAGAACGTACAAATTCATTGTGAACATAGTATTGAGGAAGAAGCACATAGCTACTTACAGTAATTGGTTGATATGCTGATATTGAAGATATAAGGATCATTGAAGGTGATTTACTCAGTCTCAAAAGTGGTAAAGATTCTTGCATTAGAAGAAAGCTACTTTTTACATTAATATCAAAGATTTTGTCCCATATTTCTTCCGAAGTATCAAAAAGACTACCTACGCTAGGATTTACTCCTGCATTTGATACAAGAATATCTAAACCACCAAATTCTTTTTTTGTCTACAGCATTATTATTATTAATAAATTATGTATCTCATAAATAAATGGAGCTTATGTTTTAATCTAAACCATAGTTTAAGATTGCAACTCACTTGTTCAAATAGAACTTTTCTATCTTCTTTTTTACCGACATGGCATATAACACCAGAAACTTCTAATCCTTCAGATTTAAGTTTTTCTACGGCTTTCTTTACATTTGATTCTTTGCGACTGCTAATCATTACCCTAGCACCTTCTTCAGCTAAACGTTTTGCAATTGCAAAACCAATTCTGTATGTACATATTTAATTCAAACGTTATATTTAACTAATTGCAAATATAATTCTTTATATGTGATAACACAAATTACATTGTCAAATTATATTCACTAACTTAACTTACCCTTCTGTCGATGCTGTTACAATTGCTATTTTTCCATTTAATCGGTTACATTTTACCGTTGATCCATTAATGCTAAATTTTCGTACATTTTGTCTTACCGGAATGCGCAACATTATGATACACAATAAAAATCTAAATATGGTTAGATTACTTGAGAGTACGTATTCTTTTAAACACTGGCAAAATGTAGATACATATTTAACGATCGTTATCGTAAAAGAATTTGTAAAATTACGTTATAATGACAGTGCAGATTGTTTTAGTATCTGCAATCTCGGACTGCATGCCAACTTTTATCCGAAAAAGTAACTTCTGTGAATTCAACAAAGCAAAGAAGTAATGAGTGTGAATTAAATACTGTATCTGGTATATGCAATCGCGAATTTGAGCTTGAGCTAGAAATGTTTCATTTTGATCAACAATCGATAACGATCGTTGTCAAATTTTGGCATGTTCGGCACGCTTGAAGCTCACCACAAGATTTTCAAGAATTGGCGGGAAGTGAGCTGAGTGGGCATATGTTTACATGTCAAAGCAGGGATTACTGTAAATTCTATTTATATTAAAAACAATACGTTGATTATTTGCTTCTAGCTATTGTAGCGATAAGATTTAAATCCACGAATACTACTGTTAAGTATTTTGTTTATGTTTAGGGTTAGCGGCGATCCAATTCTGTGTACCTAAGAAGCACAATATAAAATATTTGTAATCACAGATAAGTCATACTGCTTTCGTTGTAATGGTCAAGGCCATATCGTTATAAATTGTCCAAATGATAAACAGTAGTGTACCCTCCACTCAGTGATCCCAGAAAAGCACCGTCGGGTGCACACTCACACATGCTAGATACGCGTACGTGAGCTCGTGGAGTTTCGGAAAGACGACAAAGGCAAACTGACGCATGCCCTCTTTCTCGATTCTCCGAAGCTGCCCGAAGTAATTTCGGACCGCTTCGTAGGAGTCGAGAGAGAAAGGCTCACATTTGCCTTCTCGCTCTTAACAACTGAAATCCGACCTGCAGTCAATGGCATACGATTTGGATTCTTGAGCCGAGATTCTCGACTGCCCAGGCATTTTTACTTTCCGACCTATGTAGGCGCACATAAGCAAAGTACCCATAATGAAAAAAAAATTATGTAAAATTTATTTTACGGAAATACACGTTTTAAGACCTCCTGATCATATTTTAATTATTGAAAAAAAAGAAATTTTTTTTTATTCCCATGTATGAGCACACATATGGAACATAAAACTTAAATGTAAAGTTTCATTTAAATTCATTTAGCTATTTATACTCAATCGTATTAATAATATACATATGTGTGCTCATACATGGGAATAAAAAAAAATTTCTTTTTTTTCAATAATTAAAATATGATCAGGAGGTCTTAAAACGTGTATTTCCGTAAAATAAATTTTACATAATTTTTTTTTCATTATGGGTACTTTGCTTATGTGCGCCTACATAGGTCGGAAAGTAAAAATGCCTGGGCAGTCGAGAATCTCGGCTCAAGAATCCAAATCGTATGCCATTGACTGCAGGTCGGATTTCAGTTGTTAAGAGCGAGAAGGCAAATGTGAGCCTTTCTCTCTCGACTCCCGCGAAGCGGTCCGAAATTACTTCGGGCAGCTTCGGAGAATCGAGAAAGAGGGCATGCGTCAGTTTGCCTTTGTCGTCTTTCCGAAATTCCACGAGCTCACGTACGCGTATCTAGCATGTGTCGAGTGTGCACCCGACGGTGCTTTTCTGGTATCACTGCCTCCACTATAGAAAGCAAAGTCCAACCGAAATAACTCGTAACTTTTCAGTAAATCAAATATTTCAAAAAGTGCGTAGGATTTCGGGGGTATGTCTATTGACCAAAAATGATTGTAATTGACCCCCGCAACCGAAAATAATTTTTCCAGAATGATTTGAAATTTTTTTTTTCGTCGAAAAATTTCAGCAGTAGTCTGTCATCTAGTAACACTACTGCTCTGTGACGACTTTGGCAATACTGATACTCTAATATAGTTAATGTAAATGGCAGATAGCAATATGGTTAAAAACACAGTGCAGCCAAAAGAAAATCATCATAATAATGATGAAAATGAATGGGAAATTGAGGAAATCATGGCGAATTGTAATGATTATGGTAAATATATATTTTTCTTTAAAAAACTACATAACATGTTTTTAATCATCTAGTACAAAGCATACACATTCAAATGTCTTCTTACGACGTAAATTATTGTAATTGTAGAATTTGAGGCACTAAAAACTCAATTAGATGAACTCAATTCTGCTTTGGATAAGATTGAACATAAAAATGATGTTATACATGCAGAATTAAATAAACTATTGCAATCAAATCGAGAAACTAGAAAACAATTTCAAGAATATCAGAAGTCGCTAAATCCAGAGGTATAATGCTTTATTTTGAGAAGGTGTGTATTATATCATATTGAATCTGCTGGACACTGTTGATAGAATGTTGTTTAGGGTATAAAGTGATGTACTTGTAATTAATTAATGTTGATATTGTTCCAGATCATGTAATATAAATGTATTTAATAACAAAGTAGGTAATAGTGTAATACTATGTATTTTTTCATAGTACAATGTAATATATTGTATTATTATACTTTAATATTTAACCCCTTGCTCAATGATTTAAGTTCCAATGGTACAGGCTATAGTCAACAGCAGGGTTGACTACATATTAAGCCACTTTATGGTACAGCTGAACATTCTGAATTATGATATGCTTTTTAGTGATGTAATTGTATTTTATCGTTTTTGAAATTGCAAGCCCGGTATGTATTGTTTACATTTAGTCCGATTGACATATTATGGTTCTCACCCATGGTTTTCAAGTTTGGCCTACTTTCTTTACCATAAATCTGACACGTTGTTGTAGATGAAGGGGTTAAAGATTAAACATTCCTATTAAAAATAATTCAACTGTATGACAAATTATTCGTATGGTTATATAGTACTATAATACAAATATAAAAATGTATAAATAATATAAATATCTTATTTGTATGGATGTGAGGTTTTCTGCCTTATTCATTTTATCATTTTTTTAATCCATTGCCAATTCAACATTTAATTCAATATCAGCATAATAGAGTACTATATCACAGTGTTAATATTAAATTGTTAATAAAATAGTATTAAAAATATAAAGGTTTTAGAGTCTGTTTTTCATTATTTTTGGAGGATTATAAAATTTTAAATAATTAAAATGTGCAATTAATCGAATTAACATATATTAGAAAACAAAAATTGTTATTTTGTTTAGCTCGTTGTAGCAAGTGCGAATTCAGATCTTAAGATGGCGGCATGCTCTCTCTTCTACTTACACCTTACTGCGCAAAAGCTTCACTTTCTTGTTTTGTGTCAGTCTCCTTAGTACCTACGTACATATTACTGCTTATCAGTTTGTGTATTTCAAGCATAGACATAAGAATATATTCCTAGGTTAGGGTTGGTTAGTTATATGCAGTATATGGAAATCACTATTTGAGGGCTAGTGAAACACTTACGAGAGTCGACTGCTTTTCGTAGCCTTCTAGTGATGAGTTTTAAAAGCGTTTCCATAGCATAATTGACAATAACAGAACAGGAATCTTACACGATTTATTATCGATGGTTCTATATTTAGTTTTCGTTCCATGAAGATAAATCAATTACCAAAAAAGAGAAATTGATTAAACAGGTGTATTCTTATGTTTAAATTATAAATAAAATATTAAAATGGATGAAGCAAAGTTTCTGAAACGGTAGGTGATTCATTATATACACTTCGTATTAATCATATACAATTATCATGAAAATTTGATATAGATTTAAAACTATTTTACACTATGTTAAATAGCGTTTGACAGATACGTACAGTGAATGTATTTTTAATGTTTAGAAAAGTAAGATCTGGCACATTGGATGTGCACCCAACAGAGAAAGCCTTAGTCGTAAATTACGATGTTGAAGCATTAATTTTAGGTGAATTGGGAGATCCTATGTTGGGAGATCGTAAAGTACGATTTTTTAATTATTGTTTGACATTATCATTACTTGGTATATTTATTACTTATATTATAATGTTAACTTAAAGAAACTTTACGATTTGCCTAATTGTTTTTATAGGAATGTCAAAAAATAATTCGATTAAAAAGTTTAAATGCAGATACCAATGTATTACTTCTAGCTAAAGAAGTGATAGAAAAATGTTCTTTAATACACGAATCAAAGCTTCGAGAAGTAGAACAATTAATTTATTATCTTCAAAATCGACGAACAAATGATAGTTCTATAAGTAAGTTTCTATCCATAGATGAAATTGTTATAGTATTCTATTTATTTCTTAATTGCACAATATTTTTTAATCTAGGTAATGATAATAATTCTCAACCTTCAAGACCAGCATCATCAAATTCATTGTCTGTAGATAATGGGGAAATAGAACGTGCTGTCATCAGTAATGTTGATAGTTATATTGAATTGTTATATGAAGAGATACCTGGAAAAATTAGAGGTTCATCATTGATTTTACAATTAGCAAGGGTACCCGATAATCTTCACGAATTAACAAAAAATGGTATTAAATATTTTGTTGCAATTAATTATTTATTAATTTTAAGATACATAATTTATATTTATTTCCTTAGAGTCTCTGCTGAGTGCTTTAGCTAGAGTTTTGAGAGAAGACTGGAGACGTAGCATAGAACTCTCCACAAATATTGTCTATATTTTTTTTTGTTTTTCGACATACAGTCAATTTCACAATATTGTTCTTGAATACAGAGTAAGTAAGAGTAAGATGAATGTAAAAACATAAATATATTTAGCAATTCATTTTTTACATCTAGATTGGATCTTTGTGTATGGATATAATAGACTTTGAATTACGACGGTATGATCAATGGAAAGAGGATATGGAGAAACGTAGGCGTCATTTTGAAAGTACTACAGGTTTAACGTTTTTTTCAAGTGGAAATGATAACTGTGACAAGAAGACGAAAATTGTTGATGATATTTGGAATACTGATGGTCCTTTAAATTACGAAATTAAAAAAAGATCTAATGAAATTTCTGTTGTAACAGAAAGTGATATAAAGAAATTAAAAGAGGAACTTGAAAAAAGTCGTAAGAAATTCAAAAGTTTAATAAAAAAACAAGAACAACTGTTACGAGGTTTGCTATTTTGCTATTTTGTTTTTCAATATTTCTATTATATTTCAAATATTGCATAAAAATTTGTATTACAGTGGCCTTTTATTTATTATTAAATATTGCTGAAAATATGGAAGTTGAAAGAAAAATGCGCAAGAAGAATGTAATTGGTATGCTGATTAAAACATTGGATAGGACAAATACCGACTTGTTAATACTTGTCATTGCATTTTTAAAAAAATTATCCATATTTCGTGAAAATAAAGATCTTATGGTAAAATTTTGTCTTTACTAACAATATATGTAATTACATATATTGATTTATTATTTTTTTTAGGCCGAAGGGAATATTATTGAAAAAATACCGAGACTTCTGCAGAGTAATAATGCAGATCTGGTACTGAGTACTTTAAGATTATTGTTCAATCTTTCTTTTGATGCAAAGCTTAGAGCAAAAATGATAAGAGTTGGTTTATTACCAAAATTAATTAAACTGCTTGGTCAAAGTGATATTAAGAATAAAACAATAATTTTGGGATTATTATATCATACTAGTATGGACGACAAAGTGAAGACTATGTTTACAAATACTGAATGTGTCCAGATGGTAAATTTACATAATAAAAACTCAGCACGTATTTTATATAAATTATTTCACATAATATGTAATTATTTTTAAGGTAACAAATATGATTTTAAATGCTGAAGATGATCAACCAAAATTGGAATTAATAGCACTTGGTATAAATCTAGCCATTAATAGCAAAAATGCCCAACTCATGGTTGAAAATAATCGTTTGCAAGGTCTTATAAAAAGAGCATTTAGAAATCAAGATCCTCTTATAATGAAAATGATTCGAAATATATCTCAGCATGATACGACTAAGGAGAGCTTTGTAGTAAGCAATTATTTCATTATCTAAAACATGTCGTTTTTTAAATGAAACATTATAAATTATTTTTGATATTTATTAGGAGTTTGTGGGTGATTTTGCTATGGCCTTAAATCAATCAGACTCTCAGGATTTTGTATTAGAAGTTATTGGTGTATTAGGCAATTTAGAATTACCTGACCTGGATTATTCACAAATACTCCATCGATGCGATTTGATTCCATGGATACGCAATAATCTTGTACCAGGTATCATGTTTATTCAAAATTTGTGTATTTTTCTCATAATTCTAATTTATTTTTAAATATAATTACTCCCTTCTTTAAATAGGTAAATCATCAGATGATCTAGTGCTTGAGATTGTTATATTTTTGGGTACAGCAGCTTATGATGAAGATTGTGCACGTTTATTATGCAAGGCTGACATATTACTTTCACTCATTGAACTTTTAAAAGGTTTGTATAATATTAAAAATATGGAATGAATGCCAATTTTTGAATCAAAATAATTATGACAGCAAAACAAGAGGATGATGAAATGGTGTTACAAATAATTTATGTCTTTTATCAAATATCTAAACACGATTCAACAAGGGACTATCTAATACGTGAGACTGGTAATGGTAATAATCAAATTATCTGCTTCATCTTTCTAGATTGTTCAAGTATAAAGTTGGTATACTGCATAGAAGATAGGTCATTTTCATATGTTTTGTGTTTTTAAATATTTATATTATTTGTAGAAGCACCTGGATATTTAATAGATCTGATGCATGATAAAAATCCAGCAATTAGGAAAGTATGCGATACATGTTTGGATGTCATTGCGGTAAATATATTAAATAATTACCATCAGTAATGATATTTAAGTATAACTGATCAAATTTGAATAATTGTGGGAGTGTAGATGTGTGATAAAAATTGGGCAGCTCGCATAAAAGTGGAAAAGTTTAGGTCACATAATCAGCAATGGTTAGAAATGGTCGAATCTATAACGAATGATACCACAAACCATTTGTTACCAGAAGAAGATGACAGCCTCTCACCATTTATGAATGGTGACCTTTTAAAACATACAATGTTATTCCCTTCTGGTAAACATGTTTTGCCATATATTTGCTATCATATGTTTTGTATAATTACAATTGTTTGTAACAGTATTAAATTTGTAATAGGCAATGTAGCATCGTTTACTACAGATGACAGGTTTTCTATTATGAAAAATTCTTCAGAATCATCTGAAAATCAAAGTCGGCCTGTTAGCAGGTAACTTTTCTATACATTTTAAATTCATTTTGATATAACAATGCTTACTAAATTATAAATGGATATATGTTTTTGTATTTTGATATCAGGTACAAAGATTTTGATGAAATAGGTGAACTTATGGCACGTTCTAAATCTCGTATGTCTGTTGGTTCTGGTATTGAAGATTTCTATTATAATACCAAAGTTAAATTTGCTGAATCAGACAGTTCCCATATATTAATATGAAAGGTAACATATTATAGAGGATTGTAAACTAGTTATAATAAGAAGTTTAATCTAATCTCGAAACCATATATTCCTACGTAAAATGTCTTTATAAACATAAATAACGATACATGTAATAGTTGCTTCGTTTGTTCGACGTTTAATTATAGTTTTAAAAATGTATTAAATATGTACATTTTTATATTTTATTGTGCAAAGCATTTCTAAAAGTATAAAAATACATTACTGCCTGATTATGCCTTCTTACTTCATGTAATTTTTAGACTGTGACCATTTTACAATATTACAGCAACAAAATTGACATCTTTGGCAACCCTTACATGGATCAGTTTATATTTATTTATGTACAAATGAATTTTACAGAACTTTAAAAACTGTATATGCGATAAGTTATTTTGATCTCATAACAGTATATAATCTATATTTATTTGCAAAGGAATTTTAGGAACTTTTAAAAATTGCTTATGTGATAAGTTACTTTGATCTCATACTGTGGTGTATTTTATACTTTATTTTATCAAGTTTATTTAATTTATATCTGAATGCTCAATTTAAATTGATTTCTAGTCGTAGTAGTAACTTAATAAAGTAATTAATACTGCAAGGTGATTCTTCAATCAGTAGACTTGAAAGGAATGCCGCCGCCTAAACACTGGCTATAACCTCGAGTATGTTTACAGTCGTAGCTTGATAAAACGATCGATATCATTGTTGCTTCGTTGATCGGTTGATGATGACAACTGTATTTGCAAGGGGAAAACAGAATAAATTCAGATTTCTTCATCGAATCACGAGTGTAATCATTCACGGGATTATCGCCGCAACATTTAGACGATGGCATTTATTTCGAGACTAGTAGCGGGAGAATCATTTTGTACTAATAACGCAATGATTTTCTTATTCTGTATTTCTAATATGTACAATATATGCAATACTACATATAATTACTGTTAGTATATTTTTGACAAATTAATATAGTACTACGTGTTTTTACAGCACAACATTTACTAACGAGAAATTTGTAGATAACAACAGAATGATTTAAATCCCTTATAATCAGAATTAATTTATACAATCTATTGTTTCTTTTTTTTTTATTTTAGTTGATTACTGAATACACATTCCATTTATGATTTGTTTCTTTACAATACGCAATATATATGTAAAATAATGTTATATCCAAAAATGTTATTCATAGATGTTTATTAATCTCTATGTATAAATTGCAAAATACAATTCGTTTCTTCACATAGAAAATTTTTATTTATTTTATTGAACAACATTTAGTAAAGTGTATGATTACTGAAAATATCTTGGTTTGTTATTTGAACTCAAACTTTTTCGTATAACAGTATCAGCAGTTGGTCTAAATACAATGGTATAACTATTGTCACCATCTGTATAAAACGAATGTTCTTTCAAATTCCAGCTAATAGGGCTGTCTAAAAATCCTTGTACATGTAAAGCACACCATGGTAAAGTGTGTCGCGTTAGTATATATTTTTTTATAACTCTATAAAAATTTGTCACTTGTTTCCTTGTAAAAAAGCCAGTCCATTGTAAATATTGTACCTGTCCAATATCTATAAATGGCGATGGATAAGTGTACGTATTTGTGTAGTCATTTTCTTTGTTATTTTTCCTGAACAAAATTGATTTGTTGTTATACACGTTACACACGTTTCAAATGATCTAACATATCTTGTACGTACAAATTACCAGAAACACAGAAAATTCCAAGCCATTCAAAGAAAGTATCATTATCGGACTCCTCTGAAATTATTGGTATTCTTACAGAATACTCAATTCTTTGTTGAAAGGTCTGATGACAAAGAACAACATTGTATTGACGTTCATGAAACCATGCTGCTACGGATGATGGGCATAGATTTTCATCTTCAAAAATAAAACTAGTTGCATACAAAAAAAATATATGTACAAACATATTAAATTAAAAAAATAATAATAATTTACCTGGTGGATTCCATGATACAATCACATCAAATTTTTGTTTGAAACGCTCCTTTAATGATGTTCGAATACGCTCGTAATTCTTCTTGCCAGGAGTAAAGCTTTCAGAATTTAAATCAATAGTCACGACTTTTGATTTATATTACCGGTAAAAAAAAAAAGAAAAATAAACGAAAAGTAGAATTGATAAAGATTAAAATTACTGATGTAAATATGAAAAAAATATGCAAACTTTATTCATGAATTTACAATATAACCTACGTTAGTGAATCGTTAAAAGTTTTTAGTTATTATTAAATACATTTTCTGACAAAACTATTCTCTAATATACACTAAGAAAAAATACAAATTCTTTTTTTCATTCAACTGTTTCTCGTTTAATTAATCAATTAGTTTATGAATATGCATATACAATCATTGTATTGTTATTTTTCACTATATTGTAAAAAATATATCTTCTTAAACTATTTATAATTATTTATTCATTTTCATTATTTCACTTATGCAAAAGATAAACTTGGACTTGTATCCAAATTTGTATTAGTGTTTTTTAACTCTTCTCTGAAACTATTTAATTCTGCAGATGATATTCCTTGCCAACTTTCTAATTCAGATAGACGTCGTAAGTTATCACAATTTTGCATTAATAATTGTACAGTTTTCATTGATAAATCATGGCTATATAATATTTTGAGCTCTTCTAATTTGCGCATTGAGTTTTGCAAAAATATTCTTCCCATTGTTTCGTCTCCAATACCAGTGGATGAACCCAGTTGTATGAATTTAATATTTATACAATGAGAAAGTAAAAATTCTAGATGCATGTTTGCACATTCTGCTACACACTTGATTCTTTCTAAAAATTGGAATGGTGGAATTGTAAATTTTCTTGGATGAACTGCTACATGTTCTAAGAATTCACAATTGTAAAAAACTAGGTCTCTTATATCTGGGCAGTACTGACTTATCAATATAAGTGCATTCAAATCGATTTCTTCTACATGCTCCAAGTGCAAACTTATAATTGCACAACCTTTTATTTCCAACAGTTTCTTTATTCCATGGGCATAAAAATCACAAGATAAGAGCTTTAATTCTTTTAAATAATCAAGAGTAGCTAGAATTGTTAAATCACCAATTCTTTCATCGCGTAGTAAACAAAGACTTGTAATATATGGACATATATCAACTAAAAGATACAAATGTTCCATACTAAAATTTCGACTCTCAAATGTTCTTACACATAAGGAACTTTTAAAGTCTTTTCGATGAATATGTTCTAAAACATATCCAAATTCATCGCATCTGCCAATATCTTCTATTTTTGAATGTTCTAAAAAGAGATTCGCATAACCAGGTATAGTCATAGAGGTTCTACATAGCTTAATGTGTTTTAAATGTTTACACGAAAGCAAGGGACTAATGCTGCGCTCTGTTACAGATCTAGATGCAGTTACATCTAACTTTTGCAGTTTTTTACAGTTTTGAGCTAAGGCCAATATAATATTATCTGTACAGTCAAAGCATAAAATAAAACATACTAAATTTGGCATAGCAGATACTCCATTGGCAATAATTTTTTCAATGTCTGATGTTCTCCAACCAGCTGAGCCTGAACCTAAATCCAGAATTTCAAGCCCGACCATATCATACAACTTATTATAAAGTACATGTCGCATAATTTTAGGCCAAGCAGAAAATTCAATTGCTTTTAAATGTGCACCTACAGCTACTTCTGTTAATCGGAGAACAATTGTCATTTCTGATAGAAAGGCTGTAGTTAATGCAAAATCATTATATGTACCTCTAGTTTCTTTAACTAAATTGACAATAGCAGTCAACACTGCAATGGACATTTTATCATATAAGTGTCGAGGTATACTGCAGTTCAATAAATGTTTCATAAATTCTAACATCGAATGCAAATTAGTATATCCGCATTCTGGATTAGTTTTGGATGTCATGCAAATAAGTTTTGTCATGTATCTACCAAAAGTAGTCACAAATTCCCCAACGGAGTATAATGCTAGATCCACTAGCATAGGCACTTGTTGCTTTTTTGGCATTTTGAGTTTCTTTAGTATTTTCCTTCTTAAAACTTACCATAACGTGTATGTACTTTACGATCAAAGAAGGAAACTGTGCCTTCTAAGCCAAGTGTTTGAAAATCTTCTGTTAATAATGATAATATTAAATGTCCGCTTGGTGTAATGGCAACTGAATTGTCCACATTTATTTTATTATCAACTGTCAGAAGATTCAATTCTCCTATAAAATATATTAAAATATATTCTTTTTCACATATTTATTATACAATGGAAGATCAGTTGATAGCTATTTCTTAAAATTGAAATACTGGCACTATTCCATAAGCATTTCCATTTATAGTATAAAGATAAAAATGAATGTTTTCAATATAGCTTATTAACAAAATACAACAGTATCATAATTTTTATGTAGAAATGAAACAGTATTTTTTTTCTTCACAATTAAATATCATTTAATTCTTAATCAAACACATAATGATAGAACATTATTATAAATTGATTATTTGAAGTAGTATGTTTTAATTCCCTTACCTTTCTTAACAAATGCCTCTATAAATTCTTTATTTATTAAATCAAATACATTGATTGCGTTAATTCGATAGTAGTCTGAATCCTCCGAAATACAAGTCCGCAATTCATCCGGAATTCTGATTGTGTCAGGAAGCACCAAAGATATCTGGCGTAAAGCCAACAGTAATTTCGAATTATGTAAAGATTTCTCAAAGCATAATCTTCATAAAATTATGCTTAACTGCAACTAATTTCTTACGTACTGAATGGTTAAAATAATGCGAGCCAACTATATTCGGTGGATCAGTTTCCTTGTAATCCCTTTTTTCTATTGAAAAATGATGTTGAGGTGGTTTAAAATTCCACACTTCCGGACTAAGCATTTTAATTACAAAGTAATTATTTTCAGACTAAAAAGTCCTTATTTTCACATCACTGTGCGGAAATATTCACGTGCACTCCGCATCATCACATAAATGCTTAATTCTCAAAAGTATTTGTGAAACGTATTGTACATATTTTTATTGATTCCCTTTAAATGAAATTTTAAGAAAGAAATATGTGAGCTTCGGTAGCGCAGTAGGTAGCGCGTAAGTCTCATAATCTTAAGGTCGTGAGTTCGATCCTCACCCGGAGCATTTTTTATTTATTTTTGTAAATAAATACATTAAACTTCGTAAATTTTTATTTTCGTAAATACTTTTATATTATTGAGAAATATTTTAAATGAAAAATGCAATGCAAAAAGTAAAATATTCATTCATTAAAGGATCGGGTATTTAAAGAAAAACTACACATTAACAATATTTAATTTACATATTTTAGAAAATCATATACTGTTACAATATATAAAGATACAAATTACGATAATTATTTCCGTCTTCGTCTAGATTCATTTGGATTCTTTTTCATCCAATATTTAACAGAGTCTCTTGGTCGTATACCTAATATAGCCGATTTAGAATGTACATCGCGCATGATAAATGGAGAATATCCAGCTATGTAATCATCCTGTAAAGGATCATTTTTAGTTCGTGCTAGTTTTGTTGTTCTTTGGTCGGGCACTGGTTGGTCATTGCAAAGAATAGGATTGTTAGCATGTTTTCCACCCTTTGGCATCGGTAAAGAAAACTACAAATTTGTTAAGTATTACATATAGTACTATTCACATAAGAGCATATAAGAGAAAAAGAAAAAAAACAAAATCTTACCCTTTTTCCTTTTTTGGAAATTGATTTTCGGAAATTAATATGAATTTGCTGTTTTCCTTCCTCATTTAAAGTGACTGCAACTTTTTTCAATGTTTTATTACCACAACTAGGACAAAAAGCTTTTGTCATAATACTAGTAGTTTTGAAACATGCATAACATCTGAAGATAAATGTTCTCATTTGTTTAATTACTCTCCCATCTAGTGCAGCTACATTTAATCCAATTTGTTTTAAAACATTTTGCATAGCAAAGTCCATTGTTAAACATGCAACAGTTACTGGTGCTTGTTCAAGAAAATTCGTATCAATTTCTTTTTTTATAACAGAAATGTTTTCTGTAATACAAAAGAAATATTTGTATTTTGTATTTTATGTAACTATTTCATATAGACATGTATCATTAGTAGAGCTTACTAGGTGTAATCCAACCACTGTTGTCATCATCACTGTTGTCATCATCATTGTTTTCATCTTCATCACCCTCATATTCATCATATTCAGTGTTATTTTGTACACCTTCAAAATCGTCTTTGACAAAAACAAAATTATCCTTAATATTGTATTCACTACTGTCTTGATCTACAATTTTGAATTCTGTTGGTTCACATTCTAACTTTGCAAATTTAGTAGACACATCTTCTATTTTATCGTGATCTATATCGGATTCTGCAGTTTCATAATCTGATTCAATATTGTTGGAAGATTCGCTAAAATATGATTCTGAATCTGCTTCTTCATTGTCAACATTATTTATACTGTCTTCCAAGTTTATGTCAACACTTTTTTTATCAATATCTTCTACATGCTCTTTATATTTAAATTCTTCCAAATGGTATTTTTCTTTATTTTTATTCTTATCGCCAATCTGTGCATTAAAAATGTTTAATTATCATAGTGATCTTATATTTCTGTATTAATTTAAAAGAAATAGATTTACTTTATTCATTGGCATATAAAAACCAGCTAATGAAACACGATCTTCCATTGAAGTAACACTGGTATCCACAGTTTTTACCATGATTGGATCAGTTCTTAAATGATTTGTTCCCACTTTTTCTTTTTCTAACTGATAGGTTAATGCAATTACTTTTATATCAGTTACTGATAAACTAGCATAATCACCTGTCTTTTTAGCAAATTCTGTAACTGTATATATGACAGAAATTATTATATTTCAAATTTTTAATGCATACAATCATTATTTAAACATACACAAAACTAGATTTTATTACCAAATTTAATGTTTTCAGTATGTGCATTTTGTATTGTTAAATCATATGGTAAGACAACTAGTCTTCTTAGTTGCCTTTTATTTGTAACTTCATTCACTACATCTTGCTCTGTTATTATGTTGAGGCCAATATCCTAAAAATATATGTATTTTCATTATATTACTTAAAAGTTTATTACACTCCTAAATTGTATAAGATACATATTAAAATAATATTTTCAATTTTAATATTATTAAGACAAAATTCAACAAATAAGAATAATATATATATTCATATTAACCTATCTACAAAATACTTCACCTAAAATACTTCACCTGTAAAGATGCATTTCTGATGAAAGCACTTGTATCAACAACCAAGTATTGTATTTTTTGATTTTCGTCCATGTTTATAATTGTCATGAGAAAATAGATCAAGAATGCAGATACACGTGTTCATGGGGAAATGTAATAATCGGCAACATTGGCAACAATCGGGTGAACAATACGCGTGATCTGGCATAGTGTGAGTAGTACACCCGGTGCTCAATCTGGTATCTCTGATATCATCAAAGATAAATTCTACGTTATGAAAGCTCGAGATCATAATATCAAAAAGAAATCCCCGTAGTTATTAAAATATTAAATAGTTAATTTTTTTGTTCAGTCTCTTTTAAACATTTTTGTAAACATTACAAGTGCGTTCTCAATATTATTTTAATGGATATTTGCTTTACTGTATTGTACAGTACTGCCAACAAAAACTGAACATAGCTTAGGTCTATAGGTGAGGTGCGTTAATGTTTTCAGACATGACGCATTATTACGTTTTGCATTGGTAAAATGCCTTAATCTGCTTAATCAAATAAAATTAGTGTTGTATCAGTTAATATGTATTTTATTTTATATCTTATTTGCATTTTATTTTCATTACTATCAAATTTTTCATAAAACGAAATATATAAAAATAAATTTAAAAATCTTTTTATGTTTTCAGATGAAAAAGAGGGAATCCCTTGCCTTGAAGAGCCTTTATATAATACATCATAGCTATGGAAGCAGAGTACAGTTGTTTGCGTGATAAATTTTTATGTGCCACTCAATCATACATTGATGATAAAATATTGAATGAACTTAAAAAATATTATGAACATTGTATAAACTCAAAACGCAAATTAAGCCAGATTAGTAATTTGAGGGCATTATTGAAAATATTAGAGAAACGAGATGCACTTAGTTATAGTAATGTGGAACCACTTGTTTACATTTCAAATCATTTTTTAAATGACCCTCTTCTACAGACTAAAATAGAAGATTATAAATTCCGACTTCAAAATTCATATTACCCATTACTTTGTAATATGTATCAACACACAAATGGTAAGTCTTTAGTTAAATATAAATTGTACATTTACTGAATAATTTCTTTTATTATGTAAAATATAATATATATTCATACAGCTTACATTTTGTCAATGCATTACATGGAGCAACTGTATACTTGAAAGGTTTTTGTTATTTTTAGACATAGAGAAAGATTTTATATACTAAAATTATATGCATAAGGATTCACGTATTATAACAGAGTTAGTGTTTTTTGATACAGGTATAAGAGAAAACTTATGGTTAAATTTATTTTTTTTTTAAATTAAATCTTATACCTTCCTATATTTATCACAATACCAGCTATTTAAACAATTTTAATAAGCTATAATATAAAGTCAGTTAAGATTATCAGAGCTCATAGTAAATGATTATAATTTCTGTATTCATTCCAGCACATGCAATGATCCTTTGGTTCATATTTTTCAGTGTTGTTGATCTTTCTTTATATATAATATCTTCCATGTCTTCCAAAGGAAAATATTAAACAGTGTTAAATCAAGCAAATGAACTAGCTACAAAATTAACTCTACATACTATTCAACAATCTGAAAATAATGTCATCAAAGGCAGTTCTTATAATTAATACATAATGTGTAGAATATCTATAATTTTGCTTAAGTTTTTATATATCTTTTTTGTGCCCCAAAATAATGGATGTACATCAGATGGTCAGAGTTTGTGCTCCATCCTACATATTTTTTAACTTTTGAGTACTATGTCAATATTAAAAATCATGTATTTTTATAAACTAACAATTATGTTGTATACACTTTTATATGTTCTAGAAGCAAAAAATGAAGATACAAAAGAATTGTTAAATGAAACTGAAAATTGTACATTGGAATCAAAAGAGCAATCTGTTGAATCTGAATGTAAATTGGCATCACAAAAATATGTAACAAATTCTAAAATTTATTCTAATCAAGAAACAATGCTACAACATACAGGTAAGCATTAGCTAATTTTTTATGGTATATATTATTAGTTATTCATAAAATTAATAAACAGAATATTTGTTTTCAGTGTTATTAAAAATCAGTGAGAGAATTGGACGTTCTTGGAGAGATACTGTTAGGTATTTAGGTATTCCCGAATCCCAAATTGATATTATTCAAACTAAATATCCAATTGATATGAAAGAACAAAGTTACGAAGTAAGATGCAATTAATTTATTCTAAATAACATTTTTTACATAAAAGTAACAAACAATTTTTTAGGCTTTAAAACTGTGTTTATCCCAGTATACTACTGACAATTGGAAATTAAATTTATTACATGCTTTAGAGCACGCTAGACGCAGAGATCTTAAAGAACTTGCTGAAAAATTAATAATGTGCTCAAAAATTGAATAATTTGCTGGCAAAATAATATAACCTCTGTAAGATCATTAAAAAATAAAACATTTTTATTTCAATCAACACTTATATCACTACTTATTTTAGGAAAACTAAAAACAAAATGATATGCAAGAAAAAGAAATTAATATTTTTAAGAGAAACTTAAATATATAATCATTTATTAAACAACCGTGAGAACATTATTAAATAATGTTATACTATTTTGAAGTAAAGTAGGTTGCTGTATTTTGTCATTTCTTTGCTGAAAATGACATCCTAGTGTTCTTTGTACCAGTCTTGTTTATATGAATTACGTATGATACGCATAGAGAAAGGTATGTGTGAAGAAAATTACTTAATCAAGTAATAATAGTAATAATAATAATAATTTATAATCGTATTATTTATGTTGTCTTCTGAAAAATACAGCAGCCTGTGCGTATCTCTCATTACCTAATCTTAAGTTACGTATTACAAGAATGCAAATTTTTATATTAATACGATATACATTTACTTTAGTACATATTTATTAGTTTTTGTTCAATGACTTGCATTAGAAAAATACTTAGCTACAATGAAGACGTAGTAATTAAAAATTTTGCACTGGATCTTAATTTAATTTGATGCAGTAATCTGACTCGATCTTGCATGATATTCATATCAATAATACATATTTAACCTGGTTTAAGTTTTTAATGAGTAATGATGATATTAATATAACATCAACAATTTCTAGAGTACATAGGCATTCTTTGTTTGACTTCCTATTTTGACCATAATATCTTTATGTATTTGGTATGCTATAGAGATCTTGGATGAAATTTTTAATCTCTCTCTTAATTTACGTCTACAAAAAAAGGATAATTAAATAACTACTTGAATAATTAACATAGTATCTGAAATTGTATGTTACAATTTACCCAATTTCCATGACGCTATCTTCCCTATTGGCATTTGCTGTCCATATGCCAATTTTATCTGTTTTGTTTCGCACATTTACTACTGCTCCACAAACATCGTCAGAGTATCCATTAAATGCTTCACCAATCATACATAACAGAGTTTCTAACCAAAAGTGATCTAAATCTGTGGCTCTTTGTTTTTTATCTAAGTTTATAAGCCACCTTCCACCACATTTATTAGCATCATCTTCCCACATAGGTCTAATTCCTTGCTTGAACATACTATAGTCACAACCTTGTCTTAAATCTGATGCAGACTTTATGTGATTGTATAAGCTACCAATTAAACAGAAATGTTATTAGTCAACAAATTTAATTAACAAGTTTCTATTACATTCTAAAACATAATTTATAAAACTTACCTCCAAAAATCTTCTGCTGTATCAAAACTTGTAATTTTTCTTTGACTTTCTTCCCATGTTTTATTTCTATCAGGTTCATAGTACCAAAGAGTCCATGCATGCTGTAGAGGATGTTTAATTAGAACCTCTGGTGGAAATTCATCAAAACTTGGTACCAATTGCTCCTTCCGCTCTACTTCCTGTAAATAATAACCTTTTTAATCTGTGCATACTACTTGCCATGCTCGCGCGCGCGCGCGCGCACTTGCCACACACATACGCATACAGAGCTTTCTAATCACTTTTAACAGTTTGATATGCTTAAAGGTTATAAGACGGTATTACTTGAACTAGGCCCAATATTATTTATTATAATACACAATGTGTATTATAATATTTTATACAAGTAATATAGTATGCTTTTTTAAGTTCATTAGACAGTTTTCACCGTGCATAGAACAGATGGGAGGGGAAAAGGGTATCGAACCGACCACGCTATTTCAAAGAATGACCACGAAAATTTTCCCCAGATATTTGAACCGCAAATACATCTCAACGAAGTACTGTATTAATTTTAAGATGCTCATAGTATCGTGAATTATGTGAGAGAAAAATACCTCAACTTCTTCTGTATTACTCGTAGCCATATCACATCGACTACACGACATACAATATGCTCACTCAGTGAACTAACAGTAAGGGCATCTGTCGGCAGAAGTTTTACACCGAAATTTCCTTTTCCTAAGATAGAAATGCAAAATTGCATTGACACACCAGGAAGTTACCGCATCAAAATGAAATAAGTGGATGAAGAAGAGCAATTATCTTTAATTGTACTATATTAGAATGGTACAACTAAAAAACACAAATATGATACAGAAACAACTATAAAAACATATAATCTTGAAAACAAACAAGCCTTGCACCTATATTTCACTGTTTTCTCCTCTTGATAGACCAACTTAAAATTATTTTAACGTTGCAGAAATTGTTTTTAAATAACACATCATTTTATCTGTTATCACGACATTAATTACTTTTCTTTCATTTGAATATTTATATTCATGCGTATACATGCAATTGTTTTGTTTCTGTTGACTTTCTCTTATTTTGTGTATCCAGAAAAGCGATGTAAACATATCACAATAAAAACATAATAATATTATCAAAAATTGTATTTATAAAATTTAAGGAAATACATCATGTATCATCTAAAGAAATTGTAGTGTAATCATAAATTTTCTTCTATAGAAATTTCAAAATATGACAAATTAATGCAAATACACAAGCGATTTAAAATCGTTTTGTTACTTCGAATATTTAATATAATCCTCGTTTTCAATAAATTATATGTATGTGTATACACTTAAGAAAAAAATCTGGCATTTTTAAACAGGTATGTCTAGTAAATAGGATACAATCTCTTTGGATCCTCATGAACATATTGTTTTTTGTAAAAATGGAATACAGTAATTTTATACGTATCTCTGCGAGTAATGCAGCCAGAATTTTGTTCGTATATGTATATGTATGCATGTAGATATATGCATATGTGTAGTATCTATAATGTACAGACTACTTCTACAAAGTAGTATACGGTAATTATACGGTTTAATGATTAATGATTATGATTACACCCCACTATATTTTACCTAATACTGTATACATACGTATGATCGTACATATATGTTATTACCTGTTTACAATTACAAAAAATATTTTATTGTGTATATACATTCTATTGACGAGATAGATATATGTATATATATTAAAAAAATATGGAAATAAATTATTTCTGTAATAATAATGTTTGATATTGCCGATTTTTCAGTTTCTTTATTAAAAAAATGGATAATAAGGGTTGGTACTCCTGTCGAGCACAGTACACACTACAACAGTACACTCTGTAACTAGTAGCCAGTAGCTTTTACATACACTGGCCATCCTTGTTGCATTACTTTACGATGGATTTACATTATACATTAATGGAAGTAACTATTTTCTAAAGATTAGCAACAGTTTTACCTACATTATGAAACGTTCGGTAATGATCTACTTTTCTATTTCCTATAATTTTACAATAATAATAATAGTAAATTTACATTTATACCGTCAATGTTATTTTTAAGGAAGGTTAGTTTGACAGCGGTTGCATAGTATATCAATGTGTATTTAATATATGGATACACTATTTCAATGTCAATGATATTAAAATAATATTGCTAAATTATAACATTTTATAATGGAATTTCAATTTTAATAGATCTTCCCATTTTTAATTCATAATTTTATACTTTTCAGGTAACCGAAGAAAATGGAGAGACAAAAAGGTCTTTTGTTAAACAAGAATGTGTCAGTTTTGGATATGAAGGTTCCTATCCTACTTATACATCATCTTCTTCATCTCCTTCAACTGTCACGCAACCTTTACCTGGACAACCACCATTACCTCCTATGCCTCCACCAACTAGTGGAGTTCCACCACCCCCTCACATATTTGGACCAGTGCCTTCTCAAGTTACACCAATTCAAGCATGGACACATCCTTCTGCACCATGGCAATGGATAACACCTCAAACATCACCCTTACCACCTCTACCTCCACGTGATATAACCACAAATTCATTTCAAAGAGAAATGCCTCTAAGAGGTAACTATATAAGGCGTGAAAGGTTTAGTCACAATAGAAACAATATATATATTCAAAGAAATAACTTTCATCGTAAAAATAGAAGACTTGCACGATTTGGACAGTCTCAGGGTCAATTTGAGCAAGCAGCATATTTTGGTGCAACATTAAGTAATAGTCTTGGTTTGGAATGGCAAAGAAACAATTACACTACATCTACAAACGATACTATTTTGAATCATATGCCTGTTCCTCTTCCCAATCATGCTCTACCTCCCATTCCTCCAGGGATTTTGACAAATCGACACAACGAAGAAACATCGGATCAGGATGTTAAAATTATTTTAGTAAGTACATTCATATTAATATTCCTTGCTGTTTAATGGTATACTGTAACTTTTATTTATTTTAGGAGGAAGTTGTAGTTAAAAAAAATAAACAAAGGAAACCTATGTCCCAAAGTTATCCTAGTCGACCATGGAATCGAGAAGATGCAGAAAGAGCTTTGAAAATTGAAAATGAATACAACAAAACGGTCAAAGCTCAAAGTTTAATAATCAAATTTCCAGATCCTGATTTGAATAAAGATATTGTTAGAGAATTTCATCCTGGTATACAAAATATACATTTTCAAAGTCCTAGTGGCCCTAGATACTGTTTTATACAGATGGCAGAGTCCGTTGATATCGATGAAGCTATAAAAGAGTTGGAGAAGATACCTTTTGGGGTAGGTCATTTAAAAGTTGAAAGAAAATCCTTAAGAGATGAAGATAATCCAATGCCTGAAGAAATAGATCCTTACACATTATATATAGGAAATTTACCAGAATCTGTTAATGTTAATGAAGTAAAAAGTAAGTTTCCAACAGCTGCTCGAGTAGATGTAGGCTATGCACAAAAAATGAGAAACACCCGGTGAGTTTTACTTATGACATTACAAATTTTGTATTAACTTTATATGTATTGCTATAATGTATTATATTTATTTTACTTTGCAGCTATGCTTTTATCAGGTATAACAGTGTAGATGAATCTATATCTGCTTATAAACAAGCACATGACTTAATGTGGGATACCAGAAGTATTATTGTCAGGTTTAGAAGGCAGCGCGGTAATACATGTCTTCCTGGAGAACCTAAACCAAATGTTAAAAAAGTTAAAGAGGAACCAAATAGTAATTCGCAAGTAAAAAAGGAACAGAAGGCTAATAATGCTGATAAGAATTTATCAAAGTTAGAAACTAACGTAGAAAGTAGGTTGCAAGATAATCCCAATAGTACACAAAGTAAAACATCTCAAATTCAAGAACAAAGTACGAATTTGCAATCTTTTTCTTCTTCCCCTGTACCAACCTCAATTGCATCGGTTAAGTCAGCACAATTACAACAGCAACAGCCATGGGTAAAAATATATATAAGTACTTGTAGATTAATGAATCATTTTAAGTGAAATAGTGATAAGTAGAAATGTTTAAAATTAATGACATTTTAGACTGGTCAACCACCTCAAATACCTTCAGCGTCAGAAGCACCTCCACCTTGTTCGACTGAAAGTGAATCTCTTACGGAAACAATAATGCTTACGGAGATTAAGGAAGAACCGGAAGATTATGAAGAAATCGATATATCGTGTAATATTCGGTCCGATGAAGATATAGATGATGACGATGACGACGACGATGAAGAAGAAGTAGACGATGATTCCGATGACAATGACGATGATAATGAAAACGATTATGAAGAAGAAGAAGATGAGGGAGACATAAATGAAAATGAAAAATTATCATTTAATGATAAGCAAAAAGAAATTACAAAAGACAATGAGCCATCTGATGTACGTAGAATACATTTCATGATTTAGAACAGAAAAATTGAACGAATTTGTATGTTCTAAAATACAACTAATTTGTAATAATTTTTTATTTCAGCATCTCGATCAGATGTTCAGTGAATTGGAAAACATGGCTGGTGATATCGCCTTTTAATAAATTACCGAGCGTGTATTACTCCCACATTGATTAGTACTCTATTTTTTCTTGTTTAATTTTATTTCATACGTAATATGTAAATATTCCTAGTTTTAAATCATAACGAGTGAGACTGCATTTATTTAAGTACAATGTTAATGATCGAGTCGTGTCTAAATACTTTTATAGCTATATGTTTTTAGCCTATAAATTTTTATGCTTACATATGCTTACAAAAAATAATATGTAAGCAACTGTGAATATAATTAAAATTATTTTCCGTATTTTTAGTTAGAATTAATTTATTTTGTACATTTTATTTCATCATTATTTAATTATTTTAGTTAGCATGAATATGTCATTTATAAAAATTTCTTTTACATAAAAGAATTTTATATTTTGTATTAATTTTTGTTTTCTTGTTAAATATTTAGTAATACGAAACAGGTATTCTATAGGTGAAACAAGCAGCTAACAATTATATCACATTTTGCTGATCCGTGTTCTTCCTAACATATTTACATTGCGATCTAAACATTTACAACATACATTTCTGAATCAAGATTTTCAACTATTAAGATTTTGATATATGCCACAATCACATGGTACATTGAAAAAAGTGTTTTTTATGTAAAATAAATTACAAATTGGAATTTACATTATTGTAACACGTGTTTTATTGCCATGAATTTAATTCAAACCAGTTCAACAAATGTTAAATTACTAGTTACCAAAGTGGCAGATTAATGTTCGATATTGTTCGACTTAAAAATTAAGTACATTTCCGGCATTTGCTAATGCCATCTACTTCCTGCTGATTTGGCGGTAAAAAAACGCGGGTAACGTTAGAGTTCCCAAATTTGATGCAATTTTCGCGCATGCGTATCGAAAATGGCATCAGTGTAGTGGTCTGATCGAGTAAAAATGGGTATTTTGTTGGCCCCTACTTGTCTATTGTAAGAAATTATTTAAAGATTGTTGGAAAATAAATTGAAAACAATTGAAAAATTTTTCTGAACATTTAAAAAAAGATCACGATCTGATATTCGTTAAATGATATTAAATTTATAATCTAATACCTTTGTTTGGCTTACCCGTTTTTGGGCCCGTTTAAGTTTGACGTGAATAATACTATGTACGCAGCTGTTTTTGAATACGCATGCGCGAAAATTGCGTTGATTTAGTAACGCAGTAACGCTGGATAATATTACCGGTACACCGGTCTCGATCCTCGACAATTATTTGAAGTAGCGATACTTGTTGCATCTGACTAATTTTTACAAACTGATAGTGAAAGAAAGTGAATCGTGAAAATGTTCGAAGCACGTTTGGTACAAAGTGCGATCTTGAAGAAAGTGTTAGATGCAATAAAAGATCTTTTAACCGAAGCAACTTTCGAATGTTCGGACTCGGGCATTCAAGTCCAAGCTATGGATAATGCTCATGTCTCTTTGGTTTCTCTTAACTTGAGAAGTGATGGTTTTGACAAATATAGATGCGACAGAAATTTGTCAATGGGTATGAGTGTCGCATGGTAAGATTGAATACAAATTTGTAAAGGTTATATATTCTTTCATGACAGAACAAAAACATACTTCTAAAGATAAAGTACAATTCGTTCATTCTTATGCGAATAAAGTATTTACCACTTTTTTCTTTGTCTATGAAAATCATGACAAGACAAAGTTTCATCTATCTGTAATAATAAGCAAAAATGAGGTAACTGTTTTTTAGTATGTCTAAAATCCTACGATGTGCTGGCTCAGAAGATACAGTGACTTTGAGAGCATTGGATAATCCAGAAAATATTGTATTTATATTTGAATCTCCAAACAAAGAAAAATTAGCAGAGTATGAAATGAAACTTATAAATATGGATCAGGAACACCTTGGTATTCCTGTAAGAATATTTTTGTTGTATATTGTTACATTATTTGCTTAAAAAGAAGAAAATGTATTTTATTATACTATGATTATTGCATTTTGTTAATTATTATAGGACACTTCATATTCATGTGTTGTAAAAATGCCATCCCAAGAATTTTCACGTATCTGTAGAGATTTAAGTCAGTTTGGAGAATCAATAACATTTGCGTGTTCTAAAGAGGGTATAAAGTTTAGTGCTTCTGGAGATTATGGACAAGGTATAGCAGTTTCTTATATTAAATAAAAGAACAAAAATATAAAAATTTTGTCATGATTAAATTCATAGTGTAATGATAAATAATACATGCATTTACCTCAATTATATACTTTTTTCTTTAACATCTTCTATTCAAAGTATTTAATTGTTTGATCTTATATTGTTATAAAGATACGGTCATATATGTAATCATTCATAAAAAAAAAATGTATCTTCCTATAGTAACACTTATTAAAGTGCAAATGAATTATGAAAAATTCATATTTATGAAATGTAGAAATTTACCTTTACAATTAACATTATTGTAATATCAATATCTTATACTTATATAAGACATTTCTCCATTTTAGCCACTATTAAGTTAGCACAAACAGCAGATGCGGATAATGAAGATGAAGCAGTAGTCGTAAATATGCAAGAACCAGTAAAATTAACATTTTCGTGTCGTTACCTTAACTGCTTTATAAAAGCTGGCCCATTGTGTGCACAAGTGCAGTTGTCCATGTCTAACGATGTGCCCTTAGTTTGTGAATATAAAATTGGAGATATTGGGCACATTAGATATTACCTTGCACCAAAAATTGATGATGATGAGGAAAATTAAGTATCCTGTTGATTTACTTCAAAGTACAAGCCATAATGTTATTAATCCAGTCTATTGTTTTTGTATTTATCGCATTAGCAGGGATTAAATATTTTCAAAATTTTACTCAATAATAAATACAATAATAGCTCCAGCCTTATGAAAGAGTAGATATATTTTGATATTCATTGTTAAGGAACGATTAAGGATAATTAAAAATATTTTGAAGGTAATATATTTAAATTTTACATTTAAAAGTCATTTGGCTCGTCACAGTGTTAGCGCAACGTAGAATTGACACTAAGATTCATAATAGAGTGACACGATCATGATTAACATGGTAATATGGTGTCATTCTCTTAAGATTTATATTGTTACCGTTTCATAAACTGTGACAATATTTTGATAATATTGCGTTTTTTTATATGTAAGAAGAACTCAATATATTTCCAAAACATTTGATAAATTTTTGAATTATGTGTTATTTTTATGTCCTAGCCTAATTGAAGTTCAATTTTTTGACTTACTTTAAGTATCTTATTTCTTATACTTTTTGTGTATAAGCTAGTTTAATATAAAAATACATAATTAGCTTATGAGCTGAGGGAATAAGAGGGCTACCATGGATGGAATAGCCTAGAAGTATACAATTAAATCTTACACAATTTGGATCTCGTGTAGTTACTAAATAATTAAATATTAATCAATAGATGTTGATTTATACTATGAATTATTTTACACGCACATACTGCGAAGACCTGTATATCGTCATTCTTATTCATATATGTTTAAATGAAACGTCTAATTAAAATAAATACTTTTCATATTCTGTTCTATGTTCAAAAGACGAATTAAAATCGCAACAAAACAAGACACTTTGGCAATAGTAATCAGCCTCTTTGTTTTTAAAGCCCTGATATTGCTTTTGTGTTTTTAACAAAATAGTTTCGAATTTAAAATAAAACAATCATTCTTACACTGAAACAATTAAATGCCAAATACTTATAGATATTAATACGTATAATTACCGAATGTAATGCACGAAAATAATACTTGAAATTATCCGTTCAATTTTTAAGAAAACTTCTTAAGCATTTAATGCTTGCTCATTCTCAAAGAAGATGTCACGCGCACTTTGGTAACATTTAATTCTTTGGACTAATTTGACATACTTATGCAGGATTATCAATGCATACGTTATTCCTTCAGTCTGTGAGCATGATTTCACAAGTATCTAGAGTAGTGCGTGACGTTTACTTTGCAAATGAGGTACTAACAAGAAAAAGAACATGTACATTTGAAAATCATAAGGGCTTAAGCATTTGTGTTACCATTACTCCCATATAAGCTGGGATGTACATACTTGTCATGCAATGTCCTTAGATGCCTTAGTAAATTACTTTTTACATTAAAGCCTTTTTTACAATAGGAACAGAGAAAAGGCTTCTCCCCTGTATGTGTTCTTTGATGAATTACCATCGATGCGTGACTTGGAAATTCCTTTTGACAAATGTTGCACAATTTTTGATGACTGTGAACTCTTTTTGGCTTAGGTGGTGCCGAGTTGTTCATTAAAGCTAATTGCTCTTCCGTGTGTTCCGTTTGTATATGACGTACCCATTCTTGAGGCGTCGAGTACATATTACCACAAAGGTCACATTTTAAAGGTGGAAAATCTTTGCTATCGTCATCCACATCGCCCTATAAAACAATAAAATATTTTATAATACAATTTAGAACATAATTTAATATTCGAACTTTATTACTTCGTCATTAGTGTTCGGTAATTTATTTTAGGCATTTACCTTCCTCTTTTTCCTTCGATTTTCAGTCATATCAGCATGAGTAAATTCAATATGTCTCACCCAGTCGGATGGTCGATTAAACGTTTGACTACACATGTCGCACGTTAATGGTGTGTATTCTTCTTCTTCGTCCGCACTATGTACGATTTCCTATGAACAATGAGTTTTCGTATTACATACTTTTTTTTCTATAAAACGAGCTTTTTCGGAGTACAACGTACCGGTTTGATATCAATTTCATGGTCTATCGTCAAGGATTCTGATGGATCAATAGTTTCCTCCCAAATTGGTTCATCCTTTACTAAAAGTTCTAGATTTAACTCCGTCTGAAATACATAAAAAAAAAAAAACAATGAAATATTTCATTCCATTCGTGTGTCATTTGAGAATCATCGTACATTTTCACCGTCCTCGCTTTTAGATTTATTAGATTCTACGTCGCTGTTGACGGTTGTTTTCCTTTTCTTTCCGTTGGCCTCCAGGTTTTCCTTATTCTTGTTGTGTTCGTTATTCTTATTCTCCTCTAACACTTTTTTAGGTTCTGACTCGCTAATTTTCTCCTCGATCTTCTCAATACTCTTTCTCTCTGAGGTAGGTTTCTGAGGTTGAACGTTATTTTGTGTTGGCGTGGTTTGTTGTACGTTTTCAACGGCTTTCTCCGTTGACGGTTGAACCAACTTAATTTTTTGTATTTGACCGGTTAATGGCGGTTGCTCCCGTTTATCCCGATCAACCTTCTGGTTGTTCGATTGTATATTTTCCTTTTTACTGCCGGTATTTGATCTCCATAAGCCACGTACACGTAGTATGTCGCCGGCTTTCAGTACACCCTCCAGCTGATCGTTCGTCACGGTAGCTTCTCCGCTGTACATGTATTGAATTAGGATTTTCAAGGTGCGATATCCGATTTCTGTCGGTAATACCTAAAATGTAATTTTATATTATGATATTGACTTATTGCGATAGATCGTTTATTCGTCGTTAATAATGTTGCGTGATCTTAGAAGGATTAATACATATAGTATATCTGTACCAACCACAATTATTTGAGCGTTTGTATTCGCTCCAAAATGACATGTTTGAAAAATGTGACTGAGGTATGATGAACAAGCGGCAAGGACAAATCGATGGGCCGCCACGTGTCTGCCGCAGGACGTCGCCAATAAGACATCTGCGAAGGATTCTGAGTGCAGTAACGTCGCGACAGAGCTGTGTAAATGCGCGCCATAGCTGTGCCACTTAAGTTGATAATTCTCCGAAGCAGCGATGGCCATTTTTTCTGCACCGTTCGAAAGAAAAGATTTCATTAATATTTACAAAGAGAACAGCATGTTTATACATAGACATATTTGTTGTATTATTAAGCATGTTGCGTCGGCCGCATCTCGTTTGTATTTCTGTAATTTCTGCATTATAGAACGAAACGACATTATAAAATAATATGTAATAAATACTAATAACAAAAGGAGGCTAAATAGCGCTTCTACGAAATGCGAATTACGTTATTGTACGCGCAAATAATTTTATTATATTTACAAATATTTTATCCATGCCATTTGTTTGTGCAAAGCTGTTCACGATAATGAATGATAAACAAATAATTGTCGTTTCACTATAATTACGCGATACGAATATACGATTTGTTATTTTGTTGACGGATATACAGCTTTAAAAACGTTTTAGTTATGAATTTTCTTTTCCTCGATCGAATTCAGTCTGTAGCATTAATTGATTTTTTCTTCAAGCCTGTACATTTTTACAATCTCTCTATTGCTTGCTCGTACACGGTAATAATAATACACGAACCATAGGAAACAACACTAACAGATCCTCGTTTTCTTTAATCACGGTTACAGAGAAGTCGATTTCAACAAAAGTCTTAAACCAGTACAAATACCATCAGACAAATGGTAAATGAAATAATTACGCGCACTTTTCGCTACCCCACCGATTTACACCCTCATCTCGATCCCGTCGTTTGTTCAACGATAGACAGTGCACACAACATTTTCAGGCGGACGATATCTTCGAGTGAGACGTATAACACCATCGATGCACTTCAAAATGCCGCGATCTTAGATCGTTTCCGCATTGAGGATCATTGATTGTCCCCCGGTTTAGGTTGCATGATATTACCGTTGCTCGCATGAACGTCGTGAAAGAGAGAGAAAGAAATCTGACGGCGAAGCTTTTTCATTTTTAACCACGTCGTAACGTCGTCAGCATGTTTACCTGACGACATCGGCCAGTACTTCGCAAACGCGCGTCACTCCGTCGTACCCTCACGTATTTAATTGCACGATAATTCCTCGATGAGATCGCGTCACCACGGTGTGTCTCGCACGCGTCGTTGGTGTTTTGAAAGGCGCTTCGCGCGGATACGGGACACGGGGCAGATATGAGCATCGAACCGCCGCGTAGGGGCCTAAAAATCGATATTTCGGTCTTTGCTCCATCCTCTCCGGCGGTGCAGCCGTGCTCGCTCGCTTTCGCGGCTAGGTAGGGTGCCCCCCTGTTCATCATCGATTTTCCCGGCTACCAATCGCACGCATCCATTTATCGCATCGATCGCCCGAGCTGATTTCAGCGTTTGCGTCCGTCCGTCCATCCGCCCGCTCCACGATTCATACCCGTGCACCCCGCCGCACCCGGCCCCACGACCCCCGCGACCCCCGCCCTTCTTCTTCGCGACAGCTCCGTTCATCCTCCCACCCCGAAAACCACCGCCAGCTACTACCTTAAGCTCTATAGACGCGACTAAACGCGACCCTTCACGATCCCTTTCGCTACCGACGATGGACACGATGTCTCTCGTCCTCCACTTTATCCACGACTCTCCCTGGCACACCGTGCCTGTTGATATCTCCTTTACGTTTTTCTCGCAAATCTATAATTTTGTCAATTTTTATATCTAACTTTTTTCTCCATTATTATCTGCAAACATTCTGTCTCAATACCTCCACCGATGTACATTGATTTTTTTTTTAATTTATGTATCGTTATTTTTCTTCTTTAATGACACGACGACAAAACTAAAATTGACTAAAATGTATATGTCGTTACATGCACCTCCTTTTGCCAGGCTGATTTTTGATTTTCTTACCTTTTCGATGAAAAATAAAATGACAGGTTGCTTGCTCGGAGCTAAAAATGAAATGGTGAAATATATTTTTCATCGAAAACTTACCCATTGTATTGCAATTTATTCGACGAACTTTATATTTCCCGTAATTTATAACTTGCTATCAAATATTACAGTAGCATCCCAGTATGATGAACGAAATACAGTAGTTTCTACTTATGTAGACGTCTTTGCAAATAGTTCGTTAACCTTAATGACTGATCTATAGATCTATGAGGGGCATTACAGGGTTAGTTTATATGAGCAGTAAAATTTTAAGATCGCGTCTGCCATGTTCTCTGACATACCCAAAGATGGCGTTCATAGTGGGATTCTTCGATTTTCAAGATTTCGTTGAATGTGTGCATCTGTATGTGTAACGATGTACTGCATTGCGTCGACGACCCATTTTGCAATGGGAGCGATAAGTTGCACACCCTCCTACCGTTAAATAATCAATCCTATGTTTCTGAGCGAACCTGCAATCCTCCAGGTACAGGAACAACCGACTCGTAACTTGACATGGTCTTTTCTCCATAGCATTTGCATTTTTATTAGAATTTTATATTATATTGCAAACAATTAATAATTCTTTCTTTTATGTTTTCAAAGAAATTTTCTTCCGTTGGTCAATTACTGTCAATAATGAGTATGTTAGCAAGAAATAGTGGTGCCATTTTTATATGATCAGAATTACGATTTCATTCTATCATCAACCTTTGGATAATGCTATTTGGCGAGTCAGCACGGTAATTGACAACTAAATAGAAATGAAATTGAAGATGTATTGATCGTGTAAATTTAGAATTAATAGACAAATTAAACGAAGGAATATTTTAGAATATAAAAAAAATTCTGCGATTTTATTTGAATATAAACTATTTTACGGAGGCTGAACGCTATTCAGAAAATGATTTCTCTCGGTTTTATTCATATTTCCCTGCATCTATTTTTGGGTTTCATACGAATCATTATGTACACGCTTTGTCTAACGTTATAGTTTAATCGACGTTTATTCGAATTAAAGTTTACAAAGAAATTAATTTGTTCTCAACAGAAACTGTTTGCACTTGAAATTGAAATTAGTTTTGTGTAGGTCACGTGGTAACGAGATCACATGGTGCTTCCGCATATCCCGTCAGAGGGAACCACAGTTAATCTCGAGCAAACACCACGGGCAACAATCCTTTTCAGTAAATATATACGATATTGTCATCGAACTAAGGTCGGTCAAGTGAAACGTTGCAACGACTTCTTAGAGCGTAATGTACATCGCGGGTTTGAAGGTTATATCGGGAGCGTACAAGTGTCATTTACGTGCCACATCGGAGTGACCTAGTTTACAAATGAATTTTCGCCCCTAATTTTCCTCGGCTATGACCCTGCAACGAGTTTTCTTGATGTCGGTGTGCTCCGCGAGACAGTGACGATGCTGTCTCGAAAGTGAGTTCATGGCTGTTTATAGAATGCGGAAGAAAACAAACAATTTTGTTTGATAGTGCGAAAATGTGGACTTTTATAAAATATGAACGCCTTCGCGTCTTCAGCGAACGATGCAATTAGGTTAAGTTGACAAGGGACATAGGTTCTTTGCAAGTACTGCACAACATACTAGGCAATTTATGAATGTATGGTAAGTTGATTTTTTATTTGTGTAAAGTAACTATTATCCATGAGACTATAGATAGTAAGTATTTGAAATTTCTGTAAATATTCGTCACATCGAACGATAGTTATAAACAACAAGAACTAATTTAATTATCTGTGAAACATGTTACAGTTGTATAAAAAATTAGAAGGCCAAGATGAAATATGGTTGTCCAAGGTTTTGCATGGTGACACTAAACAAACATTGCATGGCCTTAATAAATTGTTTGCTGCAAATCAGGCATTACGTACTTGTATATATAAACAGTGTATAAAACAGTTTACCTTTGCAAAATGCCACATATTACTCGAAAATGGGAACTATTCCCAGGCAGAAACCGATTTTGTTGCGATGGCAGAGTGATGATGGCACCGCAAACTGGAGTCTTTTATGTGACTGTGTGTCTCATTGCTGGAACAAGTGGTTTATTCTTTGCTTTCGAGTAAGATTATTATTATCATGGTTGTAATTTTATATGTTTGTATAAGGTTTGTATAAGGTCTAACTTCAATGACTTTATTGTTTTTTTCTTTTTAGTTGTCCTTTCTTAGCAGTTCATATAACACCTGCTATACCCGTCATTGGTGGCTTACTATTTATTTTTGTAATGTCTGCTTTATTCAGAACAAGTTTTAGTGATCCTGGGGTTATTCCAAGAGCAACTTCCGATGAAGCTGCCTACATTGAAAAGCAAATTGGTAGATAAAAATACAATTTTTTATAAATAAACATTTAAATTTATGATTAATGATGCTTTAATATACTATAGCAGGGGTTGGCAAACTTTTTCTGAGAAGGGCCAGATAATAAATACTTTTTGGCTTTGTGAGTCAAGAGATAAAATCATGTGGATATTATGTGTTTTACGTAAGATGAAAAACAGAATTTGTATAGTATTTCTATTAACAAAATAAAGAATATAATTGCATTCTAACTGACTTTTGGGAAATTAATGTGTATGAAATTTTTTTATACAGTAAAGTTAATGTAATCTTGTCATTAAAATTGATTGTAAATGTTCATTAGATGAGCGCATATTGCACATATTTTATTTTTTAACTTGTCTTTTTTGTATAGATTAATTATATTAAATACGTAAACTAATTCATGATAGTACACAAACTAATGGGCATGACTTTATATTAACGTTTCTTTATGGATATTAAAATAGTAATATCGTAACAAGTTTACTTTTATAATTTGCCAACACCTGTATCGTAGTATGGGACTTTAAAAAAATACAATTCAATTCTATGAACACCTTGTTAGTTAACTATAACAATTTTAATAATCAACTTTAATTCAATGTATGAAATTAAACATTTATATTTTTTACATGCTGGATAAAGAGGTTCCAAACAATGGTAATTCTAAAATGTATAGACCCCCACCTAGAACAAAAGAAGTATTAGTGAAAGGTCAGCCAGTAAAATTGAAATATTGCTTTACTTGCAAAATATTTAGACCTCCAAGAGCTTCGCATTGTAGTTTATGTGACAATTGTGTAGGTATGTACATTTATTACTTATTATGAAAGTGTATTTTTATCAGAAAGCTGGAAAAAAGTATCGCGTAATTATCTTTTTAGAGAGGTTTGATCATCATTGTCCATGGGTTGGAAACTGTGTGGGCAGAAGAAATTACAGATATTTTTATGCCTTTATTGTGTCCTTGGCATTTCTTTGTGTTTTCATACTTGCATGTGCTGTTACTCATTTAATAATGCGTAAGTACATTTAATAGAACAAAGACAGATATGTAGAATATTTTCTAATTGTGCACTTAATTTTTTATAGTCACAAAAGATGATAGACCATTTTTAGAAGCAGTTAAAATATCTCCTGGAAGCGTTGTTGTAGGTGTTATATGTTTCTTCTCTGTCTGGAGTATTCTTGGCCTTGCTGGCTTTCACACACATTTAACTACTAGCAATCAAACAACTAACGAAGACGTAAATATTGTATATAATAAATAATATTGAAATTTTGAAACAGTTCTAAAAGAGTATTTATTATTACAGATCAAGGGATCATTTTCTATGAAAAGAGGGCAAGGAAGTTCTAATCCCTATAGTCAAGGAAATATCTGTGGAAACTGTTTCTATGTATTGTGTGGACCTGCGCCACCTAGTTTAATTGGTAATTTATCTTTTTGTTGTTAATGTTATTATTATTTTAATAGATCCGGTTACTGTTGTTGCCTATAAATGAATTATTGATGTTTTCAGATCGAAGGGGTATAGTAACACCTGAATATCGCGCGGAACAAGAAAGAGTTAGCGACGACAGTGTAATTACTAGTAATAAGACGTACGGTACTGTGAAAATTGTACAACCACAGGTAATCGCATATTTTATACCTTGCTTGTATAATTTAATCATATTGTATTTTTTACTGTTCGTTGTTACAGACCAATGGTACAACTGTTCAAACCAATCCCAGCACAGATCTTACAGGTTCGATGAACAATCTTGTTACCGGTCAACACTCACCGCAAATTGAATCAATAAACGGTGAGTTAAGCCTTTTGAGGCATACCGTTCGTTATCCCGAGGATCTTCCAGAGTATTCACGTCAGTACATTAATGATACTTATGCTCCAACGTATCCCCTACAACACTGTTTTCAGGACTCTGTAAAACATATAAAATATGAGACAGATAGGGGAAATCCAGATTTCCAAAAATATCCATGTAGATGCGAGGAGAACTTACATAAGTATCCTCACAGGTGTAGGGAGGAATATCATAGATGTTCAGATAATAACTTAATGTATGATCAGTGTGTTGGCGATCAAAAGTATGGTATTGATCTTCAAAAGTATCCTCAACGATATTCCGAGGATCCTATACGATATAAAATCGATACCCCGAGTGGTTATACTGACCTTCAAAAATTTCCACAATGTTATTCCGAAGATCCATTACAAATTCCTCAATCTCAACATGTTCTTAAGTACAACAATTTGCGATGTACTGTTCATGGTTTAAAATATCCGATATCGAAAAATCTGTTGCCAGCCGTTGTAATGTCACGAATATTGGGTGCCGGGGGAATGCCAATTATTGGTCAAAATGCAATAGGACTCGCAGTTAACAGATTTGGTTCAGGACCATTAACTAATAATTTCGCTTATGCAGAAAATTCTTTGTGTCCAAGCGATGGTACCGAAGAAGATCTTTTAAATCGGAGATTTATTATGAGCTCGATGAGCGATAACGATGATATTTAACATTCTTTACAATAATCGCATTTTTTAAAGTGATAATATTCATCATACCTATTAAAAGAAAATTGAATAAACGGCCATAGCGTCACTCGTTAGGGAAATTCTTTTAGTGTATTAGGATTAAAATAATGTAGGTACTAATATTCAATCTGTTTCTTATTAAAAGAAGCTTATAATATACAAACTTTTTAATATGTACATAAATATTAGCAAAGGTATATACAAATACTATATAAAAGAATATTAATGGCATTAAAAAAGATGATTGTTCACGTTTTCTCGCGCTGTAACTTACAGATTTACATGAACGAAGTACGTTCAAGTTAAATTTGGTTGTTATTAATAGAGATTTATTTATTTTTCGACTGTTCAATTTGGTATTAAGCATATAGATGTTTTTTAAAAATGGGGAAAAGAGGAAAATTAATATTCTTGTTACAATGTTATATATATCTTGACTGAAAAGAGAACTGAAACATTAATTTCATTATCATTTTTAATATTTTTCGAAAATACAAGCATAATTGTTTGCTTTTATATTGTATTCACATTAAATAGTATAATATTGATTGAGTTAATTTACTTTCAAGCATTCAGTTGCAAAATCGTTTTTGTTATAACACTGATCTTTGACGTTATAGAGGCTTATGTCTGAATATACAGAGTGTTCGGCCACCCCTGGGAAAAATTGTAATGAGAGATTCTAGAGGCAAAAATAGGACGAAAATCAAGAATACCAATTTCTTGATGGAAGCTTCGTTAAAAAGTTATTAACGTTTAAAGTTCCGCCCGTACTGAATTTTTTTCTTGAAAATGTGCAGGATTTCGGGAATATGTTTATTGACCAAAAATGATTGTAATTTACCCCTGCAACCGAAAATAATTTTTCCAAAACGATTTGAAATTTTTTTTTTCGTCAAAAAATTTAGGCACCTATTCGAATTTTTTTCTCGAAAGTCCGTAGGATTTCGAGTGTTAGTCTATTGACAAAAAATGATCGTAATTGACCCCCACAACTAAAAATAATTTTTCTAGAAAGATTTGAAAAAACTTTTTTTCGCCGAAAAATTTAGGCACCTACACGAATTTTTTTCTCAATAGTGGGTAGAATTTTGGGAGTATGTGTATTCACCAAAAATGATTGTAATTGACCCCGGCAACCAAAAATAATTTTTTCAGAATGATTTGAAATTTTTTAATTTAATTTTTTAATAACTTTTTAATGAAGCCTCAGTCAAGAAATTGATATTCTTGATTTTCGTTTTATTTTGGCCTCTAGAATCTCCGTTTAAAATTTTTCCCAGGGGTGGCCGAACACCCTGTATATTATTGATTAGATTGGATAAATTTAAGTTCTTTTTTTTTTTACCATTTCGCTATATTTTTACATAATTCAATAAATTGTGTTTCTTTGTTGTTTAAAATTACGTCCTGTTATCGAGGGCGCAGAGCATACAGTTTGGTAAGTTAATCTTCTTTTATTCCACCCATCATTGTGTGTATGTTTAATATGAATGAACTGGTATTTATTAATAGCTGTTAATACACACTTTACATTTGACGTGTATTTTCCACACTTTTAAAGAGACTAATTTTAGAATGTTTATCAATTGAAGGGTTTATGGATTGTGACTAATTAAATAGTTCATAATTATACAGATTATTATTATGGGCATTGGGATTGCTAAAATACAATATGTATATAAACGTACATGACAAATCTGTATATGAACCATTTTACAAATTTATATTTGTATGTGTAATGTCAATATTGTTTCATACCACTATCTTTTTTTTTAATTTTAATCAAACTGTGTATAAATAAGAAACATATCTGTAAGACACCAATGCCTGGGATACTTCATGTATGATAATTTAGTTTCAGTTTATTTGTTTACACGAAAAAGGTACACAGCCAATATTGCACTTTTTGTAATGAGTTGTACAATATAGTTTTTGTTGCTAAAGAGCATTTATAACGGCTTGTCATTAGACGTTAATGCCAATTTTTTTAAATTTTAATATTTTTTTGCATAGTACACAAAATGTATATATTATCTATTGTCAGACTATTCAAACCGTTTGATTAACGCTATGAATTTGTTTTTAGGTAGTACTACAAATAGCGTGAGCCAACTTGTTACCAATGAAGTACCACTAGCATCACTTAACATAGTTCCAATTGATATCGATGAAATTGCTCCGCTGCCTCCCCGTCAGAGTGTTGTGGTTTCTTCCACGTTGGATACGTCCTCTATACCTTCGGTAACTGTAACGACACCTTTGTCTGCATCTAGACTTAGATTGTTACAAGATACAACTATGATAGAGTCTGCTCTAGACTTAGATTCGTTGGAAGACGCCAGTGTTGGTAGGGGGAGTCAAGCTGGACTTATAAAAATGGGGGCAATATAACAATGGGATTTATAATTTTTATGTAGATTCATAGACTTTTAAAGTCATTGACGCTTATTAAAGGGTAGTGCAGATATAATTTTTTTTTCTTTATACAATCTTTGCGAAATCAACAAGTATCATGTGCTTTAAAATATAGAAAAAGAAAATACAATTACAGGCTAATGTACGATGTGTTTTTACAAATTTATTTAAATATAATTACAGAATTAAAAATTTAATCAAAAGTTGGGTAACACGGGGACGTTTATTTTATTTGATCTGCACTATTCATTCACTACACTTAGCATTGTTCATTCCATTTCAGTTATTCACATCCGTCTTTCTTCATTGTAACAAACTAGTGAATGAGAATATTCTATTTGCAGCATAGTAGATATGTATAAACGTAAAAAGTGGAAATTTATCATACAATAGTCTTGATATTATACTAAACGAAAAATATGTGGGTTAAGGAAGATGTACTACATAATTGATTTAACTCGAATTTATGCATTTTCTTTTTTACAATGCACATCAAGTTTTTTTTTTATTGCTGATCATACAATATACTGGAACCAAAAATTTCTTTACTAATTGGAATAATTTCTGCATTTGAAAATCTAGATATTTTAAATATGTTAAAATTGTGATTATATATTAATTTTATAATAGAGAAATTAATATGTATGCATTAACTTTAAAGGTCTGTGAGAATCCGAGAATCTGGATCAAGTCGAATCGATAATTTATCTCGAATTCGGGTCAAAATCTCGAAAGTGATAATTAGTTAAAAACTGAACATTCCTATCATAAATTATGGGTAATCGTTTCTCGATTTATTTTGTCAAATTATTTCGAAAGAAAACTTTAGATCGTACAGTGTATCCGAGCCATGATGTGGTTATTCAAAATTTCGAAGATCCTGATATTATTTTATTGCGAGATACATATGGAATCTTGATTCGATTATTTTTCAATCCAACATGAGGTTTGGGTACCCGAAAATTTGGGTTCTCGTACACTTTTAATGTCATTTTATTAGAAAATATTTTTATTCATTAAGAAATATAAAATCTGCAATACGGAAAACATTGAATTCTAAAAACTTGTATTTCAGAATTTTACCATAAATTAGCATTAAAGGTATGAAGTATTATCTCATTTAATTTTTCATATTGGTAAAATAGTATTACATTCTTTAATGAATTTACTATGTACAGTGTAAAGAGAATTTTGTAAATATAGGAATTTTCATAAACGTTAGTATAGGTTTGCAAGAATTTGAAAAATTTGTTAAGGCAATGCGGATTGTACCAAGCATTTTAAAAATAGAAGTACCACTGCCTTGTTTATTAGTAACTCAAGTATCAACGTTGCATGGCATTGTTCAATTCGGAGTAATCAAAATATAGACATTGTTTATACGATTAATTATTGAAAAAAGATACGACACTGGTAGTTGTCATTTTATCTATTAAGAATTGCCATTATATTAACTTTGAGAGTACTGTTTTTTTGTACATACTGTGCGTGTATGATATTGTATGTATATATTGTGTAGATGTTATTATGATAAGATAATATACTACAAGTTAAAAATATATGAATATGTTTACGTAATATTACACCTATTTGAAAATTCTTTTAGTATACGATGATAACGAGATGCGTGTAATTTTATTATTTTGAGAGGCACAAAAATTATTAGCTATGTTTAGCAGATAAAGGTAATTTTATTAAACATTTGTTTTATGTCCATCATAAATTTCCCTTTATAAAAATATTTAAATAATATTTAAAGTATTAAAATGAAAGGTTCAACACAGTCTTTCCTAAACTTCGATTAATGCGTATATCATTCGTAAAATGTATTAATTATTTAATACTTTTCCACATATAATTTACAAACAATGAGACCGGAAGTTTTATCAGTATATATAAATATATTATTAAATTAGGTCATTATTTTTGCTTATTAATATTTTTTCTTGTGCATGTAATATTACGATAATGCATTACAATGTACATAATTTATACTTTACATGTTGCAGTAAAATATAAATCCATCCTAATTTTGTATTAATTTTTTACTTTAATATAATTTATGTATTATGATAGCAATAATCAAAATTATAACTGCAATACCGATACCTGCGATGTATATTGTAGATTGGGTATTTCTAGACGAATCTTTACCAAGATCGATAGGTTTCACATCAATTTCACTTTGGCAGTAGAATTCTGTAGGATCTGTATAATAAATTTGTAGTATCGTACAGAAATAGAGTATACAATTTTCTCATAATACGCATAATTATGAACGCTTACCGGCTTGGAGCTCTATGTCTTTTTGAACATTACTTTCTTGTACTTTCAAGTCTAACAGTTCTTGCAACGATAAAAGGGCTTCTTGCGGACCTTCGCCGGGAAAAAGGTAGTCTGACAATGTTACTTTACTTTCTGGTAATGCTATTAATACTCTTCTCGGAGGTTCGTGTAACGTTATATTCTCTGCACAATAAGAACATAACGAATCCGTAAATACCTAGCAAAATGTTTCCATATTATGTGAAAGGGATTTACCTTCTGGAGATCCATTTTCTTCTTCAATCAAACTGTCCCAATGCATTTCTAATCTACTTGCTAGCGATCTTATTATATCTTGTTTTATTGCTACATTAGCTTCTTCAATGTTTGCTTTCTGATGAACGAAGGTTCTACTCGCTAACTGTCCAACTAAACGTATTGACGCATTACACGATGTTATCCTCACATCCGAGCTAGTATTTTCGTTTTGCTAATAATCCATAAAATGAATCATGTTACATCTATTTAACGAGACGCTTAATATTGGAAATAACTGAAAATTATAAGATTAATTTCGGGCAGACGCGATTACTTACACACGGAACGTACAAGTTAATCTGAATCGATTTATCGTTACTACTATTTTCATTATTTTTACAACCTTTTTCATCTTTTTTACTTTTGTTAATTACTTCCAACGCATCATCCGGAGACCGTACTTCTCCTTCGATAACGGTCAAAGAAGACTCGATGGTAGATGATATACTGTTTAATATATTCTGCAAAATAAAATTATATTAATCTTAGATTTACGTATTTAACGTTTATTTTATATATGTTTACTAGAGGAGTGCAGGTAGCCTGAAATTTTGGCTTGAACCATTAAAAATTCGGTGAATTGGGGCAGAATCTAATAAATTTTGGGCCAAATTGCGTCATATGGTTCCGAAACAGTTTCTTGTTTCTTTGATGGTCCGAATCCGAGTTTCGGGCTATTCGTAACTCTCCTAATGTTTATATACTTTGTGTTCAATACCTGTAGTTGCTTTTTAAGAGTTTCAGGATCTTTATCAGCAGCAATGAGAAATAAGCGATCAAAATCTACGATAGTTTCGAGTTGATGCCATTTGGTAGCTTTTTCTTGAAACTTCCATTCTGCTGGCTTCAACATTCCAGTTTTATTCGTTTCTACAGATTTACAAATATATCTAAAAACATTTAGGTATTATGTTGTATATAAACAATTGTTTGAAATGCACGATGCTTATAATCCATTGTACTTTTGTGTAATGCTACTTAAGCTTAAAATTAGATGCTCTTCATTGTTTCCGCAAAGGTATCTATTTTGTGTTAAATTTTTCTGAATGGCCATAAGAATAGATTTAATTTTGTGTACATTTGTATTATCATTCATAGTATCATCAGGACCAACAATAAACGCACCAAGAACTCGCATTCCACCAGGCAACATTCTGGTAACCTGTAGGTAACATTTAAGTATTTAATTCTCACAATAAAAATTGATTACTTTTATAAGGGATTTTATATCTTTTTTAAATACCATCAGCATACTAATTTAAGTATAATAAACATACGTGTTTAGCATGATCTGCCACCCAGCTTTCAGGTATATCTCTCACTGATTTAATGTATCTTACAGCAGTTTCTTGCTGAACATTTGCCGTAGAACTGATCAATGTTTCTTCTACTACATTCTTAGCAACCGGAGGTGGTGTTTTTGCTAAGTGTACAATATAGTCTTTTTGACCAGCACTCTGTAATTGTAATCGTATTTTCAATAAATCAATTGCAAATAGGTAATATTCGAGTATAAAAGAATCAAATTCCAGTTAATCATCTGTGCATTATAATTCTCGTTTATATATTAGTTTGGAATATAATAAACGTGAATTAAATTGTACATTACTATAATGAAAATATCATGAGTATAATCTAGTAAAAAGTAGCATATAATCAATATTGATCGAGGTAATCTAGAAACATGTTTCTCGATCAACAACTACATATGCTAAGCAAGTAAGAACAGCGAGATGACGTGAAATTGGAACATACAAATATCGAACCTGTCCCAAAATTAGTCCTATTGTATATTCATCAGGTTTTGCTAACGATGTCAGGTACGTGTGCAGACGCTCTTCCGCGTACACAGTTCGACCCATTTTTTTCAATAATATTATAGAACGTCTGATTGCAGCTGTCGTGCGTTATTCTTACCATTGATTACACGGTAACACGCACTCTAATACATCGTATGAATTTTTTGCAGTTCTCCCACCCTGTCCGTGATGTCAGGGATATGCGCGACACGAAGATTGTATTCACGAACAATGTTACCAGATCGGACAGTAGGTGCACCGAGAACTTATTGCACTTTCGTACTATATCAGACCACGTGAACGTTAGTTCGTAGAATTTCGGAGAGTCGAGAAAGAGAAATTGACACTCGCTCTCTTTCTCGATTCTCAAAAGCTGCGCAAAGTTCTTTCAGACAATTATCTGAGACTACAAAACGATCGAAGGAAATTTTAAATGAAGTAGGAAATAATTGTGTCGAAAAAGCAAGATGTTATGTGGCACATGAAGTGGCCTGTCAAGTTCAGGTAAGATTTTTAATGCATTTAAAAATCACAAAAAACAGTCACATACGTACAATTATTTTTGTAGGTATGATGTTAACAGCAAGCTCAATTGTTTCAAAGAGCAAGTGAAATTCATGTAGCTGCAAAGGAAACTGTAACCTTGGCTAAAAGTCGAATTATAAATAATTGGCATAAATGAAATTTTGATCAGGCATAGTAGGATATGTTAAAACATGCAACTATTAAAGTGGGTATACTTTATTATGAAATAAATACGTATCTATGACATGAAATAGAGTACTTCCATTCAAAGTTTGAGAGTATGAGATGTGTAAAAAAATGAATCATTGTTAAATAATACACTCTCATCCTAGGTCATGAATGCAGAGAATCAAGAAAGGAAATGTGGCTGAGAACATTATAGAAGGGCAGTACTGTTCCACAATGTTGAAAAAGATTACTAGAATTAAAAGAAAAACATTGTTGCTCAATAATAAAAGCGCGACCATATCTCAAAATTGAAGCTCAATGTGATCAAATGTTAGCAACGCGAAAAGAAAGGGTTGAATGTTTACAAAAAACAATACTAGATGCAAAATTAAATTATGCCACAAGTCTCTGTACACTGGAAGAAATTAGTAACTAAATACATCAACAACGTCGAGATTCTAGCATTTTTATTAAACAATTTAAAAAAAAAAATTTAAATCGGTTTCAAAAGTTGCAAAATTTTCAAACTTCGGAAAATTCATTAACAAATATGTTTTCAGCGACGCCTATTGAAGATTCAAGTAGAGTGAAGGACCAAAATTCTGATTCATTAGTATTAAATGACTGTAAAATTGATTTTAGAGATGGAATATCAAAATCCTTAAGAAACAGTCCTACAAAACCGAGAGAATTTGATTTACAATTGACATTTGTTGATAAAATGAATATCACTACAAAATATACATTGCATATATGCTTTAAAATAATTAGTTGTTCAAAATATTATTCATCAATTTAATTTATTTCTAAAACGCGATATCAAGGTATGTTTCTGTAAAACAGAATTAGAAAAGAGTAAAACATTTCTCAATCCTATATTAATAAAAAATCGAAACCACAGTACATATATTCCATGCTTCATATTTACATTCTCCTCTACCTATCCCATTAATTCCTTAATTTTTATAAATTCCAAAGTTAAAAATATTATTCGAATCTAATTAAGTTATTCAACTATTTCTCTATACATCATTTAATGTAATTAATAAGTTAGAAGCGCGATTCTTATTTCAATATTGCGCCAAACGGTGCAAAAAACAGTGTCGCCATCTAATATCAGGGATTCGTACTGCTAAAATCGTGCCAGGATCGCAGAATGTTAGAGGAGGTATCCGGGGTACAGGTTCCCCCACTCCTGGTACTCCAGTTACGCACTACCTTGATTATTCGCTAATAACTATTTTTCTGCGATTAAAATATGGACTTTTAGAATTGAAGAATATAGTATAAACCCTTAGCTACATTCAAGGATATATGATTCCATTCCACTCGTAATTAACAAGTTATTAACGAATATCGGAAGTCGAAATATTTACGGTTGTATCACTGTCTGCTTTAATTGATTATCAACTTTTTAACAATAACACACATATTTTGGCTATCACAGAACCAAGTAGACATCCCTGGCAACATTCAAGGACCAATTTTGTAACGCTCCTCGCTCTAATTAATTAGTTATTAACGATAGATCTCTAAGGTGTTGTGTGAAAAGGTTAGAAACAGTGTACCGACTTCCGATATTCGTTAATAACTATTTAATGAGGCATGGCATGGTTGCGACAGTATCCTTGAATCTTGCCAAGGGTCTACACTATATTTTTAAACTCTAAAAGTTAATAATTTGTTCCCAGGAAAGGCGTAATTAGTAAATTAACGAGCAGTGATTCATTAAAAGCGGTGAATTATTGATTTTTTACATGTGGCGCCAACTAGTGGCGGAAACAGCGTACTATGTATTTCTCCGTATTTAACGAATTACTGCTCCTCAATTTACTAATTACGCCTTTCCTGGGAACAAATTATGAACCTTTAGAGTTTAAGAATATAGTATGAACCCTTGGCAAGATTCAAGGATACTTTTTATAATCATTCCATGAGTTATTAAATAGTTATTAACGAATATCGGAAGTCGGCACACTGTTTCTAACCTTTTCACGCGACACTTTAGGGATCTATCGCTAATAACTAATTAATTAGAGCATGGAGCGTAGTAAAATCGGTTCTTGAATGTTGCCAGGGATGTCTACTTGGTTCTGTAATAGCCAAAATATGTGTGTTATTGTTGAAAAGTTGATAATTAATCGATTGTAGCAGACAGTGTTACAGCCGTAAATATTCCGACTTTCGATATTCGTTAATAACTTGTTAATTACGGGTGAAATGGTTATAAAAAGTATCCTTGAATGTTGCCAAGGGTTTATACTATATTCTTCAATTCTAAAAGTTTATATTTTAATTCCAGAAAAATAGTTATTAGCGAATAATGAAGGTAGTGCGTAACAGGAGTACCAGGAGTGGGGGAACCTCTACTCCGGATACCTCCTGTAACATTCTGTGATCCTGGCATGATTTTAGCAGTACGAATCCCTGATATTAGATGGCGACACTGTTTTATGCACCGTTTAGCGCAATATTGAAATAAGAATCGCTTCCAGCAATCGTTTATAACTTATTAATCACACTTAATTAGATTCGAATAATATTTTTAACTTTGGAATTTATAAAAATTAAGGAATTAATGGGATAGCTGGAGGAGAATGTAAATAAAAAGCATGGCATATATGTACTATGGTTTTGATATTTTTATTAATATAAATATAAGGATTGTTTTACATATTTCTAATTTCATTGAATAAAAATATGCATCGAAATCTTTAATATTAACGACAGTTATAATTTCGCACCTCTGATTTGCTTCAACCATGAGAAAATAAATAATGGCGTAGTCATAAAAAGCTGTAATTTGTTAAAAAAAACGTCTTGGGGTAAAAAAATGCACAGCCTATACAGGGTGTTTGGCCACCTCTGGGAAAAATTTTAAGGGGAGATTCTAGAGGCCAAAATAAGACGAAAATCAAGAATACCAATTTGTTGATGAAGCCATCGTTAAAAAGTTATTAACAATTAAATTCAAAAATTTCAAATCGTACTGGAAAAATTATTTTCAGTTGCGGGGGTCAATTATAATCATTTTTGATGAATAGACATACCCCCGAAATCCTACCCACTTTCTAGAAAAAAATTCGAGGTGTGAAATTTTTCGGCGAAAAAAAATTGTTCAAATCGTTCTAAAAAAATTATTTTCGGTTGCGGGGGTCAATTACAATCATTTTTGGTGAATAGACATATCCCCGAAATCCTACCCACTCTCTAGAAAAAAATTCGAGAGTGTGTGAAATTTTTCGACAAAATTAAAAAATTTCAAATCGTTCTAAAAAAATTATTTTTGATTGGGGAGGTCAATTACAATCATTTTTGGTAAATAGTCATATCCCCGAAATCCTACGCACTTTCGAGAAAAAAATTCAGGAAGGTTGACAAATTTTTCAGCGAAAAAAAAATTTCAAATCGTTCTAAAAAAATTATTTTCGGTTGCGGGGGTGAATTACAATCATTTTTGGTGAATAGACATATCCCCGAAATCCTACGCACTTTCGAGAACAAAATTCAGGAAGGTTGACAAATTTTTCAGCGAAAAAAAAATTTCAAATCGTTCTAAAAAAATTATTTTCGGTTGCGGGGGTGAATTACAATCATTTTTGGTTAATAGACATACCCCCGAAATCTTGCGCATTTTCGAGAAAAAAATTTCGGTACGTCCAGAACTTTAAACGTTAATAATAATATATAAATGTCAAAATGAAACACAATTAGGATATGGTTAAACAAAAGTTCAACGAGTATAATTTAGATTTTTCGTGTCACTTTATTTCTAACCGCTTTTTAAATGTATAATTAGATACATGGACGTAAATCACAGCTCAACGCAAGGTTGTATAAATATTTATGCATTCGTCTGGAATAATATGTACACTTGATAAATATGCGATGAACGGACCTTAGATTCAAACCAAATACATACTATGATCGATACAGTAAGATCCCAATCGATGTTATTTTGTTATGACGGCCTTTTTCTGTTTCGTTAATTCACGACAATGTTCTTGCGGATGCTTTTTAAATTTATAATAATGCCATCTATAAGGATTTTTCTGGTTTCACTTTCCTTTAAAAACGCATCCTAAGCGTTAAGCGTGCTCTTACTATATTTTAAATTGGTTCGCTTCCAAGAACTTACGTTTGCAAAATCTATGTATATGATCCATGCATATACTTAAGATATTAACACCGTTAATTCGAAACTTCTATAGCTTCTTATTTAATATCTTTCAATTATCTGTGTCGTTAATAATCAGCAAGACGAGAATTTGAATCAAATTGATGCGAACAATCACTGAAAATGCGAATAACTGTTTCGATAACGGTGACGGTTTCATGCATAATTATTTCACATTTAATCGGCCAGTAGCGTCTGGAATCGGAAAGGAGTATATACAGGTTTTCCTGTTTCGTTCATTCGATTTCTATCGTGTGCGTTAAAAACAAAGAACAAAAAATATTAAGTACAATGACTGTAAAACGCCATTCAGATCGAATTTTAAGTGTCGTCTATTACACATAGATCGTGAAATTATAGACGGTTTTATACAAATTCCGAGGAAACGGCATAACAAAAACTAACCATAGATGTACATTTAGTATACATATACATATAATATTTCATGCATCTCTGTATATATACAAAAACGTGTATACGAAATTTTTTTTAAAAATCATCAAAAATATGTCGGGTAGAACAGTTGTCCGCGAAGACGAAATACACGTTTTTGGGGAAAGAATACTTTCGTACAAGTTATAATTACAATATTTTGGATTATTTATCGAATCTTTCAGTATTTGCCATATACATACGCGTGGAACGTCCTCACATAAGCGTTGGATAATGTAGTTACTGAACAGTAAGGAAGTTCTTTTTCTAAATCGTTTAACGGTCATCGGAAGGCCACTTTGTGATTTTTGAAAAAGATACCAGTGTATAAAAGAACAAACTTGACGTTTCAACGTATGGTGATCTTGAAACGATTCAGTTTCAAAGGAGAGTAGAATTAATTCGTATTTTCTTCAGCTTGAATTGCTTGTAGGCCTCAATATACAAATCCATTAATTCGTCTCGTTTTTAATAATTCCGTACCACTAAAGACAATAAAATAATATTTCTTTTCGAAAATATAGTTTTCTTGAAACGATCTTGTAAAATAAATTTTTTTAGTTTTATTAGATCGCAAATAATTGTGTTTCCTCGTGTTTCTTACCGTTCAGTTACCATTTTCTAAGTCACCTGTCCCGAAAAATCTTATGTATCGCCTGTGGTTTTCTTTCAATTAATCTTAAACTAATTTACAATAATTTCGAGATCATTTTCGCGAAGTGAGAAATCAGCGACTTGAACATTGGCACTGGATTACTTTGAACGGAAGTCGAGCTTGAAACAACGAGCGTTGAAAAGAAGACGATGAAGTGAGAGCTGTCAGGAAGTATAATCGTGATGCACTCGACAAAGTTTTTAAATTTTCAGATTCCAATAAGAAATGAGCATTTCTCACGGGGACACATTTGAAAATCTTTTGTTTATTAAAATACAACCGAGGATTTTGTAAGAATCCAGTGTAAAAATTGATAAATTTTTGGTTGTGCCACTCTTACGATAAAGAAGCTTCGAATAAAAGAAATTGATAATTTTTGCAATGGTAATGCATAATCTTGCAGTATTTTGAAATGCAGAGTGTTAGTATAATTTCTGTTAATACACTGGCGAACTATTCGAGCGGACGGATAAGGGATGTTTGCGAAAGCGAGAGAAAGCCTTTTAAAGAGTCTAGAAATAGTTGTCTATGTTAATTCTAAAATACTTTCGTGAACGATATCATAAATAGTAGCGGTACTGTTAACCGTACCATTTAGTTTAATTTTAAAGGTGCTAAAGTTTCTATTTATTTCGGTGCACAAAATTTACAAATCTTTTTATTTGTGTGCCACCAATAGTCAATAGGAATAAAAGTGTTAGTTAAAGCGAGTATCGTTACAAACATTAGATGCTAAAATGTTGCTATAAACAGCGGCGAGGCAACGTCACCGAACGCACAAAGTTTTCAAGCGACGCGTTAATTATACTGTTCCTCGTGAAAGCCTCGGGTAGAACGTACGAAGAACAGTTAAATATATTTGTAAAAGTTATTTGTTAATTGCGACGAGGAGCAGTTAGGACGCTGTGGTCAGTATTAAATTAAATCTGCATCAAGTTGAAAAGCTAGATAAAAAGTATCGATGCAATTAATTAATGTCCATGTCAGGGGTCAATAAGTATGTACACCGTATTTTTCCCTGAAACAATAAATACATGTAACAATATGTATGTCGAAAGAAAAGTTAAGTACGGTGTACCACATCCATTGTATGAAAATAAAATGGTTCGTTGATTTCGCGAGGAAAAAAAAAAAAGAAGATATATTTACAGTAACAACATTATCAATATCGCCTCGTAGAAAAAATAATATTACGATATACACGCGGGGAGCGAAAACGTCGATTTATAAATAAAATCTTCGGCTCGATCGTTGATTTGTCTTACTTGTGCGAGAATTGGAGGACAGACAATTAAATTAAAACTAAAAACGTCAATTTATCACATATACAACCGCATGTTTTACAAGTATATATGTGTGCAAACTACACACACGTAGGCACAATATGATGCACTAGAAGAAGAATACGTAGGTACCTAATTGTCCGAGTTGCGATCAAAGTACTTTCGAAAGGTAATCTTTTTCAAAGTAATTGATATTACTAATAATTTGTCAACTGGAATTAAAAGTCATGATTTTCTTCAAGACAAATTCAACTTGCGGAGGGCAGCGTGCTTTCCTGTAAAACAATCATTGTACTGGTTGTTCTTTAACAAAATTCGTGGGCCTGTATTAAAAAAGACCTTTGTCAATTTAAAAATGCTTACCCTGTTAAAGTCATTCAGCCATTCAATTTTGAATAGTTTTCAATATTCTTAACGTTAAAAGAGACAATTAGGCATTCTGTTTTTAGTGAATCATTCTGTGCATTGGCATTGCTAAGAAATACGATTCCGCAATGTTCCATTAAACCTTAAGTATTCGATTCTCTAACGCTTAATAAATGACAGTATGTAGAAAACTGCGGTATATATAATACATCTCGCTTCGACGTCTTCCAAATGCACAGCAGTGAACAACATTGAGCATCGGGTAGATAATATATGTATATTTTACACATAGTCGTTGGTTAGGAGTGTCGTCGTACGACTTGGAAGACTTCGTCGACGATTCGAACATCTGCAGGTATTCTCATGCAAAAGAAACTGGCCGTGTTTCATCATTTTTTGCTTCTCCTGCCTTGTCTATATTACTTACTTTCTTCTTTAAGAATAAGTGTTATTCGGTAAACACCCTGAGAGCATATTTTTCAACAAGGAAAAAAGAGACTTGCAACGAAATTTCTATCACTGAAGATCCACCGATCCATTAACTTTCAGGGATCAGTAGTCCTTGGTTTCTTTGTGCAACCGTGCATTTTCATAGAACGGTTTCTTGGTCATGTTTCTCTCTGGGAATATTCCCTTCTTGGGAAGACTTCTTTCCGGACTAGGACTAGGACTAGGACTAGGCGAGGAACTCGGTGATCTTGAACTGCTAGAGCTTGATCTCTCTCTCTTTTTCTGCTCTACGCGGTTTCGGTGCTCGTACAAGGGTCCACGGATCGCCTTCAGGGTGTTGTCTAATTCGTAAGCTCGGTCTTTTAACTGATTATAGCGATTAATATCCAAACCAGCTTGCTTAGCCATTTTGTAAAGAGCAATTAGTTGTCGTCTATTCAATACGTCGTATAGCATATATTCCTATTAACAGAGAATAAAGTAAACAAGTTTTATAATTATACCTTTATTAGTTGCTAGTAAATAGTACTGTTAACCATTGAACAATTACGTTGTTCAAAACGATTCAGGGACTATATCCTCGAGGCAATTTAAGAACACGAGATTATACGAATAAACGAGCCGTTTATTTTGAAAGTGGCCTAACTCCATTTTTCAATTTTTTCCGGTTACCATGGTTACATGTACAACTTCCTGTTATTTATCACTAAAGCATTTCATGTTGCTTATATTCCGAGCAAATATGATAATTCTTGACACATAAGTTTTCAGAGTTAGTTCAATAATTGAACCGTGTAGTTTGAAAGTGGCCTAACTCCATTTATACTTGAATCAAGATATTTACTATTGATAATGTCGGAAAGCAGTGATGAAGGTAATTTTAATTAATTAGTATTTTCAAGTTAACCTCAGTTTTTGGACAATTGCGTTAGTTGAATAACCAGTACGTTTAATTAATATAAAACTTAAAATTTAATATTATTTTATTTAATATTATTTTAGTTCAGATAGTGAAGAAGAAATAGTAACTAATGATTTAAAAAAAAATCGAAAAAGAAACAGAATTATAGAACAATATTCGTCTTCAGGGGATGAAGCTACGAATAATAATGGAGAAAAGATTGATGAATCATACATCCAAAAAGTTCGAAAGATTAAACGGAATTCAGGACAAAGATATTGTACTCAAACCGGAAATATTGTACCTGAAAAAATTTTCGAAAACGAAGACTACCGTTGTCGGAATGCTTGCACAAAAAATTACGATGAAGAAGAAAGAAAGAATATTTTTGAGAAGTTTTGGGGTTTGGGAGATTTTAACAAACAAAATGTATTGCTTTGTGGAACGAAGACGTCCAACAAACGGAAAAGGTTCGCCGCAAAATTGGAGTTTTAGGTATTTGTTAAATTTAAAAAACGGAAAAGTTCCCGTCTGTAAAAAATTCTTTTCGGATACTTTTAAAGTGAAGGACGCTTAAAACGACTATTAAACTCTGCAAATTCAGTATTGTTTTTTTTTCAATTTGAAGCATTTTAAATTATATCGAATGGACTTGGGCACCTTCAGATTTTATAATGAATCTGGTTGTTAATTTTGAAAGTGGCCTAACTCCATTCTTGATAAGAAAACGCATATTATTCACTTAATAATTGCCACTATTTTAATAGGAATTATAAATTTAACACCCTTGGATACACTTAAGCAGTATGATTCATTAGTATCCTATACGTATATTTTTAAATTCATTGAAACGCAAACCCTTAAATATCTCGATTTGAAGATAAATGGACTCAGGCCACTTTCAAAATAAACGGCTCAAATATGTAATTTAGCAATATAATATAATGGTGCTGATTTAACAGATGACTCTTTAATTATTTTTTAAATAAATCTTTACTGGCGACTACTGACTTGGTCCGTTACAACGAAATAGATGAAGCAGCCCATTGTGGTGGCGTAAGTGACGAAGTACGTGATCGGTTCCATTATGTCCCACGAGTATTCCCACCAGGTTAATCTGGCTAGGCCGCTGGTCTGAACCGACATCAGGACTAGACAAACCCATACGAAAATTGTTTTTCTTCTGCCAGCCATGGCTTTCAATTCCTGCACTTTCTATAACAGCCAGAGAAACAGACTTACCATTAGACTCGATACACGTGAATTATATTCAAAAATCAAAAAGATAAATGGTACGCGAATACTTGAATACATATTAGTGTTTATAGACAGTACAAACACGTGAAAAAAAAAATGTATTATTCGATAATTAAATTCCTTATGAAAGTATAACCGAACCAATTTGTAAAGAAACTCGCATGGATTTTAGTCGACTTCGTTTCGGAGCAATCTCATTTAGCAACGTTTCAATTTGTAAAAGTGTGAATTATTTTGTAAGCAATTAATTATAGGAGTTAAACTTGAACGGAGGAAGAGATAATCTTAGATTTCTACAAGATCATTTCGCGAAGGATTACATGCGGCGCAAGGAACGCGCCAGCAATCAAAGAAACTCGAAGAACGGAGCAGTTTGGATGGTTGATTCATTCGCATTCATTGTCTGGTTGTTATAGATTCTACGTAGAGAAATGGGGGAAAAATGTGGGAGAAACGAACCGGTCTCTGTATTATGTAATTAGGAACACTGACAGAGGGAACGCGTTTTTATGACGAAACGTTAATCACTTTTCGTACACGATCCGAACGGGATCCACGATACTGTGTTACTTATGACGGCTGGGAACGCGATGATTAAACCAACTCGCGAAGAAATTAACTCATCCAGTGAGGAGAAAACGAACGATAAAAGAGGGGTTTCGCGCATGTTGAATAATGCTCGCACGCGTGCCGTGTTTTAACGCGTTGGAATGCTAATAACGTATCCGTAGCTCCTTAAGCTTCCGTTTAATTTAGATGGCATCGAGTTATGGGAATTTTGATAAAATAGTGCTCGCTGTCGCCAGAGAGCAAACCAATTCGATCAAAATTAAATAACGGACTTCGAAAAGGAAATTAGATAACGGACCGAAGGCTATCGAGCTTTCGATCCACGATTTTTTATTCACCTGTTCGAAAGGCTCCAGCTCCAGTCTGATGGCTTCCAACTCGGCCAATATTTGTTTCTCTAGCTCGGCGTAATATTCTCGAACGTGTAACGATTCGTACAGTTGCCCGATCAACATCTTCACGTCCGACAATTTCTCTATGTTTTCCTGAAACATTCGATCCAACGACGCTTATTTAGATCTTAGAAACGACTATTTTCCTATCGCATTTCGACGTTTCTAAACGCGATTAAGATCGTAAAGTATACGCGTAAATATGTTGAGAAATGCGAGTACGTGATAGTTTACCGGCTTCAACTTAAAATATCTCTTAAATCAATGGTCTTTTTTTCCAAAAGCATCGAAATACTTTCTTCTATAAAACGAATGATTGCATCGATTAGCGCACTAAAAAGCGTGGAATCCCATTAATAAAGAAAGGGTACAATTTCACTTTGCAAATGCATGCACGTACATAAATGCATGATAGAAACGTAGAAAGTTTTAGAATCCAAAGCTACGTTACACCTTCTATGTGTTTCTCAAAACCGTTTCAATTCCACGTGTATGCGCGTGTGTATATAGTTTGCCAATTTACAGTTATAATTGAGACAACAGATCGGAAGTAAACCAAGTCCTTAGTTAAGGAAAGCAGCGTTTTAATAAAGGTCACGCTTTCCAATAACGTACCATCGTCTGCCTATGATGCAACGGTGGTGAAACAATGTATTCGTTGTCGTTTATGATCAATCGAAAGTCCTCCTCCATTAACGTCTCTATTGTGTTGCTCGAGCCTATCCTGACACCGTCTGAAATCATCCAACTCTTTACGTTCGCTGCAGCCCAATACGCGTAACGACTATTCGTTTCGCGTTAAAGCTTCTTCATCCCCTTTCGCGTGGAGAAACAATTATTCTTCGTCAAACTCACCGAGCGTCATTGCGTTTGCTCGATCGATGCCACGGTCCTCCCTCTTTAACATCTTGATAAAGTCTCCCACCGTATGGGTTACTGGTTTCAGGGTAAACACGCAATGTTCCCTTCTGGATGGCAGAGGTACCGTGATCTTAGGTAATCCTCGGTGATACGTCACAGTTACGCCTGTAACTGAAATCGTTTCGCAAACAGAGCTTTATTTCTTTCGTTTTATTCGTATTTAGTATTTGAAATAAGAATAGATAAAAAAAACATCAAATTTTAGCTTCCATTTTTATCGGTTCGACTCGGTTATTCTAGCCGGTTTCTCTCAATTCCCGTAAAAAGCCAGACACGCCGTGAAACTCTAGAAGGATAGCGACTGTTTTATGTCTCCTCGAACGGCAAGAGAGGAGATAAGACAAAAATAGATGACAAGAAACGAAACTATATAGTTTTCCGATCGCATCCGACAGACAATTTTTTGTACAATTTAAAAGATCCTACTGACAATGAAGGTTTTCTTTTAGTCGCTTCGAGTAAAAATAACACTTTTGGTGCTAACGAAATTTCTCTCCGTCTTGAAAACAAGAATAGTACTTTCTCGTCTCTGGACGTGTCGCAATCTTCAATAGCCTTTTCCCAAGCACTAAACCCTCTACCTAAAATAACCTAGGCCCTTTTCGTGCAGTCTATGAACAAGATGAAAGGAAATCAGTTTCCAGGAAGGGCTTTCTGTTTTAAATAGAGACAATTTCAACCAAGTCTCGTTGTATCCCCGTTTAATATCGTTGTAGGTCAAGTGTGCTGTTAATCCTTTCCGAGGAGGAATAAAAGGGCTCGCTCGGCTCGCTGCTGAAATTCGACGGTCGTACGATCGAGAGCTGGATTCGCGTTAACCTGGTTACCAGTCGTTTCATATGAGGAAGGTATTAGAGTGTGGAGACCGAAATGGGATGACTACAGGCATCTTTTCGTTGGAAGCAGAACGGAACCGAGCACCGATCCGGCTGCATGATCTCTGGAAATGCATTCATGAGCGTGGACGAGGGGCGGGAGGGGATGGCTGGCACCGACGATCAAATATTTTGCTGGTTGCATAGAACAGGACAAAATGCTCGTTATTACGTTTTGTCGACGGTCTATCGAAAATTCCGACGAATTCGAGAGCGATTTAAAACGGCAGGCGACTCTTGAAAAGCGTATGATAGCGTGAAACCAACGCCGGAAGGAATTATGCTCGCCGGAATCGAGCAACAACCGGTCTGTCGATCGGGGTTTGCGTAATGCGCAGCTTACGCGATTTCGACGAATTCAATTCTCTGAACAATAGTATCGGTTGGTGGTTAAAATTTATTTATAGGCACCGTAATATTTAAAAGAAAAAAAAAAATAATAACGAGCACACCCTTTCGTCGTCGAGAATTACCAGTCTCGAAAGAGAAACTAACCAGAAGTAGATTCTTCGATGATTCAATAACGCCATGAACAATTATTCGACTGCGATAAATCAGAGCTCGATCTCGTCGGCGAGAAAATTTGATCCGTCAGTAATTGGCTCTCCTTAATAGCGAACAAGCGCAACGTCCGACAATTAGTGCGCCTCCACGAGCCACGATATGCGCTCTCTTCGACGTGGCCGCCGCGAAGAAGCGTTGGAAGTGGCAAAGAAGCTGCCACCACCTTTTGGTGTCGTCCTCCCTTCTTTCTACCTCCGCGAAAAGGTTGCGATGGTGAAGTTTTCCGCGCTGCCAGTCTACCTTTGGATTCTGCTCAACTAATAAGTGGCGTGCGCGTAAAACATTCCAACAGGGGGTTCCTTCGTGTCGCACACACGACGCAAACGGATCGGTTTTCTACCACTTTCGCGTGCTTTCGATTGTATTTTTGGTGCCGGTAAACGTTTACGTGACGTGATCTCTTCAAAGATGCACGACGAGTGATCGGGGATCTCCCCAAGGGTAGGTGAATAACGAGTACCTGGTTCTCGGATACCGCTCGTGCAAAAATAGGAAGGGTGTGGTGTACTGTGCTTTTCTCATCTCCTTGGATTTTAATATATTTTGATAAGATGATGCCTACGGGGGGGATTCTTCTCGGTGGAACGTCTTTTACTTCTACTAGTGGCGCCATACGATAATCGAATTTTACAGTACTCTTATTGGTTTTGCGAAAAGAACCTTTTCTCTGCGAAGGGGTCAAATAATTTCTAGTCGACTGGGAAGATTCCTGTTTTACAGAATATCGACCGCTCTTATAAAAGAAACTATCATTTACCCTCAATATATACCATACCATCCAATCTTTATATCAAAATGTTAACATTAAATCGTATATACTCTACTCTTGCACTTTTTTACTCTTCATTATTCTGCTTTTAAGGATAGAATTTCACATAGTGAACAATAAAATACTATTGTAGTCATTTATAATAAAACAATAATTATTATACAAACATTTCATTACTTTACATCATCTATCACTAGAATTTTATGTTTTTCATTTAAAAATTTGGGTCAAAACCGGAAGTTAAGACCCTTTCTCGAAATAATTAACGTAGGAACAACTTATGTTCAACTGAGCATAACAGAATAATACTTCCTCCCGGTTCTTATACCTTTCTTGGGCTAATTTCACTAGCGAGAAAGCGTTACACGTTGGCGCCATCTGTGCGCAAATGCAGTCATTATATTCCAGTGATGTATGCACGCGTCAGCAACACCTGCATACGTAGACCATTTGTCGGGCACTATTTTATTCGCATCTGTATTCCATTTTCCACACGTGTTTCTCTATTTCTTTTATTTGATCCGTAATAAATTCATTTTGCGATAGAGGAAAATGTGAAATAAATATATAGAGTATTTTTCTCGAATAAAGTTATTCGTTTAAATGGATTCTGAAAAACTGAACGATCGAAAGAAACAACGAACAGAGTACCAAGTACCGTTAGAAAAGCTTAAAATAAAATCAGTAAGAACCGCATATCGAAGCGTGAAAATAAGTGTAACGACCTAACAACTGTATTATTTTTCTTTACTGTTAGTCAAATTACGCAAGCAACTCATGAGCAGCCACGAGTTCGGTGCAATAAATTGTAAATGTTGCCTTAAACGGTTATCCTATGGTTGCAATCGCTTGTATCAATTTTATTCACTCTTTTCCCAATATGCACGTAGCTATTATCCACACATTTAAACCTACGTATTCATGTTAGAATTATTATTCATTCAATATATGTAAGTATAAATGTACATCAGGCCTCGTCGTTCAGGGGTCGACCATGGGTGGAGTACAGAGCGGAACCCATACCCTTGGAGATGCATTATGGGTACAAGAGAGACAACGACAAAAATGCCATCGGTGAGTAATTTATTTATGAAAATTTGCGGGAAATGGTATTGTTCCGGAAAAAGAAGAATCTGACATTGTTCTGGATAGGTCGTTCGATCAGAGTAGTGATCCAGGAAGCAGAAGTTTCGTGTTCAATGATCTGTACTTTGAAAGATCTTTGTTTCTTTTCGATGACGATGCGCACAGCGAGGGAGAAATTAACTGCGTCATAAGATAATTACGTTGTACGATAATAGAGAGACCGAGCGTGGCCCAGATTTTTAATGAACTCGAAAAATCGCTTGGAACTTGTACGGTACATAAATATCAGAGCAGAAACAATATACTAGCGATGACTGGCGATGATATTATTTTAATCTATTCTCAGGTATTTTTCATTATTCGGAACAATATATCGTCCGTTTCATAGGTACGAGGAATTTTATAGCGATTATAGTGAGGGCATACATATACAGGGTGTTCAGTCACCCCTGGGAAAAATTTTAATGGGAGATTCTAGAGGCCAAAATAAGACAAAAATCGAGAATATTAATTTTTTGATGAGGCTTCGTTAAAAAGTTGTTAAAAAATTAAATTAAATTGGAAAAATTATTTTCAATTGCATGGGTCAATTACAATCATTTTTGGTGAATACACATACCCCCGAAATTCTACCCACTATTGACAACAAAAATTCGGGTAGGTGCCTAAATTTTTCGGCGAAAAAAAGTTTCTTCAAATCTTCCTAGAAAAATTATTTTTAGTTATGGGGGTCAATTACAATCATTTTTGGTGAATAGACAGACCCCCGAAATCCTACGGACTTTCGAGAAAAAAATTCGAATGGGTGCCTAAATTTTTCGGCGAAAAAAAGTTTTTTCAAATCTTCCTAGAAAAATTATTTTTAGTTATGGGGGTCAATTACAATCATTTTTGGTGAATAGACAGACCCCCGAAATCCTACGGACTTTAGAGAAAAAAAATTCTTTACCGAAAATATAATGTGTGGTCAGAAATGTTTCCCCGAGATTTCATGCGTATCTTTAAAACATCTTGTCGGGTGTGTAGTTCTTAAGATTTCGGAAATTCTTGGGCTCTGAGAAGACCGTACGACGCTTTGACTCGAAACGATTCGGTCCCGTTCAAACGAGATAACGCTTTTATGATTAGTAGACGATTAATCGTTAATTAGTAGGATTCCGCAACGGTCAGGCTCCGCTTATTAGCATGGTTGTGGTCTAATTACGCGATCCTCATCGAGACCTAGCGTTCATCTTGTACTTGGGTACATAATTTCGGCCTGACGTTTTAACATGCGTATCAAATGCAGTTTTACTTTATACAGAAACGATTTTCTGGCACATGCGCGTCTACGATGCAACCGCCTATGCGTCATTAGCGTACTTGATGCACCGCGAACGTTTAAGGTAGACTAAATATCAAGAAATCACAATTTCACAAATTTTAACCCATCCTTGTACAAGGCTAACAATTTTTTTAACTTTACGTTTACTCTTATCCTCGTTTCTTTTCACTTTTTTATGCCTAAGCGCATTGTCAGAAGAAGTTGATGTAATTTAATGATTTCTGTAACGTTATATTCTCGTTAATTTCCTTTTCCTTTTAACCGAACCTTTCCTCGACCGGTGTCCATTAACGATAATATTATTTTCCAAGACGATTCGGATCCTTTATCACGGAACGAAGCGAATGAATTTCACAGGTGATGGTTCGAATCATAAACGGACGTTAAGATTCCTAATTTATAAACTTATCCATACGATTAACTATATATTCAGTTTTATTCTGCAACAATATCTCCATAAATTACACGCGTGTCGTAGTTCCGCTAATTAGCAGCTTCTAGAAACTCGAGAAATTTTCTATCTCCATATTTGCAATACTGCTAACGAGTCTGCCAGCTGTTTGCAGGAATTCTGTTTTATTCTCCGTTCGCATGCATATCTCATTAAATCGGCATTTCTTTAAAACCTGGAAATATAACGTATTCAAAGAAAAGCATAGCGAATCGCGTACGTACGATCGGTTCAATATTTTATATAGAAAATTAGTCTCTGTTATATGATAGTAACGAAGCGCGACGTTCGAACATGCCAATACCGTGCAGGATTGCGAAAAATTAACGAACGCTCGACATTATAATTAGCAGAGTCAATTCGCGAGGTGTAATCGAAAGAACGAAAGACACGACGGGGAACAGGAGGGAAGAGGGGAGGGGGAGGAGGAGGCCGGCACAGCGGAACACCGGATATCCGTTTTTACGAACTGTCTCTTTATGTCTAAGCGATGTGCACACACGCAGCTGCGAATAGGACAAAGGGCCGCGGTAGTTGTAGGCGTGCATCGAAATTCGTTCGAGTTGCTCGGTTGGAAAGTCATTTTTGTTCTGAAAACCCGTGTAAAAGCGACGCGCGAATCGCCATTGCACGGTGCCTATCCTCGTACGATGCTGGTGCGCGATGTTTGCTGTGAAAATTGTTTATTGTCAGGTGACGATGGAGTTTGTCGAGAACGTCAACCACAACACCAGGTATAGCTGTTTACTTGTTGTTCCTTTGCGACGTGTTGCACATTTCGTGAGCAAAGTGTTGTAGCGAACGAATTGACACGACTACCATTCAAGTTACATGTCTATTGATGTCAAGGTAGAGAATGCATTCGCTGTTGGCGAAAAAGTACTCACGGAAGAGTAAAAGTTAACTTGGGCTGGTAATTAATCGGTCACCGCTCGCGACCCACCCGCCTATAAAATTCTTGCATCACTATCTCTATCAGTAATAATAAAAAAAATTGATCAAACGTTCGTTAAAATGTTTTGTAACTGATACGACTGTATTGTGATGGACGCGTTAGTTTATTGCAAACCGAAGAAAACGTCAGGCACGAAGTTTGTGGCATGTTATTTTAAGGTTTGTCACGGATAGGCTATTTGGTTTGTAGCACGTTGTTCCAGCGCAAGTGATTAAATACAGTTTAAACTTTGCTCTACCGCTGATACGCTTACTCCTAATTCAAACATCCCCCAACCAGAAAGGATAGACGCAAACGTGGCTTTAACTTTCAATTACAAACACGATGTAATGCACAATTAATCCCAGTAGGGAGCGAGGTGAATTTTTCTGAACGAAACGTCTCTAACGAAAAGTTTAAATGAAATTGCGATGCGAAAATCGATCCTGTAACGATCGTTCGATCGTGACGTCGATCGAACGCTTATCTTAGGGCCAATTTGCGGTTAGCCACGCCGAAGATTTCCATTTACGTAATATGTAATAGGATCGTTATAAGCGCGGATGTATTTTGCTTATTTTTCGTGACGGGCACAATACGTATTACGTAAAGGAGGCAGCGATCCTCGAAGCGTACAAATATTAAAATTTACGTCCACATTGGGTAAGAGCAATTGCAAATCTGCATCTGAAAAATCGTATCGAATCGTCCGACTGCGTTCGTTTCCATGCGCTGTCGTTTTACGTGTTTCTCTTTCCAGAGACTTTTACTTCGCCGCAACCATTATTCGAGTATGTAATCAAAAAACGATTCTATTATCCCCCTTTCACGTCTGTTTATAGGTGAATTGAAATTCTAATAGAAGAGAGAGATCGCTCTATAATTCTATCGGGATATACATACAAGAACTTTTCCCTTGCGTGTTGTATTATTTCTGAAAATATACCATGTCTTTCTGTTTAGTTTATAAGTGAGAGATTCGTTACGAAAAATCACGATACTAAAAATTCTAAAAGTGGTATCTAAACGATAATTATGCACGGTTAGACGGGATTCGAGATAGCAAAATCGTTGACACTTTATGTGCGGCAACAAACGATCGCGAAGCCGCGAGAGTATTTTCCAATTCGCGGTTTGCGCACCACAGCCTCCGCGATCTCTTCCGGTGCTGGAGTCTTCTTATCGAAAGTGATTCCAATCGATTTCGACACGTCGATAGGCGTCAATGACCCTGGGTCACATTACAAGCAACTATCGAATTACTTCTCGCTTTCACAAAATTAATTTCTCTCGCGTTCTGTCGCGATAAAGGACGAATCGCCAACCTTTGGAATCTGCAAAACCGTATCAAGCAAAGACCGATCGATGTACAGTTGATTTTCTTTAGTTATACATTTCTGAGAGATCACGCGGAAAACGCTTTTATGTGACTGACCATTGTGGAAGGGAATGAATGAGCGTGGCATTGAAACGACGCGTGCTATTTCACTGACGGGAGTTTCACAAGATTTTATATACTTTGAACTCGAGCGCTCATCATTATTTCATTCCATGGACATTGTTTGACTCGGAATGTAACAACCGTTGCAATTATTCCGTACAATCTTTTGACGGAGTCGTGAGTCACTTCACCTGGATTTCATGCGATTCAAGTGTTTCCTTGTGCATCGAGAGGGTTGGTGTTCGGGTTCACCTGGTTCGCACGTGTTTTGTTTTGTACGGGGCGAAGCGGTTTCCTCGGTAACTTTTATGATTCATCGGTCGGGAGGAAAGAAAGGAGGGGACGAAATTATCTAGTAATTTTGTTCGTTGGTACTTCAGTCGAGTATCAACCACTTGATCGCTACTCTGTTGATTTTTTATCGTGTCGTTTGAACGTTTTCAAAAGTGTTCTGCGACGATTGGCTTTCGTGAATTGGATACGAATTTACCTGTATAGATAGCTGTTCTTCGATCAGGTAATTTTCCTCGATATCCTGTCCTGTTGCTTGAGCGTTTTCAAATACCTGAATGTTCTATTGGTTTAATATTCTGTTCGATCAGAGTGCAAGATATCGCGTATCATCCGAGCGTCTTTTTCAGTGCAAATAATGTCGATGCAACGGTGCGCGTGTGATTGCCCTTTTTTTCTTTCGATTTGTTTTTTATGTAGGAAAATAAGGAAACGCGAACGCTATCTTAAGTCGTTAGAGAAAGCGTGCGATACACGTTGAAACGACGGATGAATGCTGCGTGGTTAAAGTAAGTACCTACGTACGAATATTTTTTGCCGTGTGCAT